CTCATCTTCTTGACTTCCACCGCGCCAACGGTGTTATATTGCGAGCCGGATCAACGTGACGAGTTCTCTCACGCTGTTTCCCCACTCCGATCGCGCGGCGCGGCGTGAAACGGACCTTTCGTCTCATCTCGTCTCTTCGATTAACGCGACAGATTTCTCGGTACCATTGTCATCCGCTGCCTCCTTATCCGGCGCATATATTTCGAGCCGAAAATTTTGCCAATTACTCCAAAAAGGAGAAAAGAAAGATCTTGCAACTGCAGCGACAATTTTCTAGGCACGAGAAAACAACTGAGAGATATAAATGAATAGTCAGTGCTGCGAAATCGCATGTGCTTTGTATTTAATCAATTTACATAACAGAAACGGAATTTCTATTTCATCTGTTGGCGAATGTTGGGAAGAAAGTCTTTTTGTTACGTCCATCCATTATAACGTTTGATTGCGGTACACAAACAGTTGTGTTCCTTAAAGGCCTGTGTCCACGTTGCCAGAACTTGGTCCAAGTTCTAGTTTCAAGAAATGTGTAGCTAGTCCGTAAAAGCTGCAAGTTGATTGGCTGCACATTTCTCGGAATTAGAACTTGGACCAAGTTTTTAGCATCGTGGGCGCAGGCCTTTACAAAGATTCTTCTAGCTATGGTACCGAAATTCATTTTTATCCAACGTGTATAATTAATATTTAGTCCCGAAACCTAAAACTTTCCAGAAGAAATTAAAACGTTGCTGCCATAAATTTTGCGGGCTACAAACAATTTTCCAATAGATCTATAAAATATCGATAAATTTTAGTTGCGACACCTAGAAATCTACCTGCGTTAGTAAGATATTTCTTTTTAGTGCAAGCGAGTGAGGCAACGCGCGACATATGGGATGTAAAACAAATAAATTGAAATTGACGTTCGTAGCAACGACGTTAATTATATTTGTCTAAGGGCTCCATTTTTCTATTTTCAATAGTATACTATTGACTTGTAGCAACGCACGACGTTTGTAAGAATCGCATCGTACGCTCAGGGTTAATTGTATGTTGCTTGAAGACCGGTTACTGTAATGGCGCGGTGCAATCGGAATCAAGTAGGAGACGCCGGGGTCTGGAAAATGATTATAATAATTTGCTACTGGCGCAGTCTGATTATTAACGTGAAGCAATTAACTCCGCTCGTCGTTATGCATTTAATTGAGGCAGTTTCGTTCATTAAACATTCGGGTTTCGACACTATTGTGCCGCTTCAGAGTCCACGTTCGATAAGTCGATTCGACTCTTAATTTATTCAACTTTCGTCGACACTTTACTAGCTCGAGTGTATAACTTTAATCTCAACGGCGCGCATCTCATTATGCTTATGAATTAATCAACGCAGAGATCCGCGGCTTCGCCGGCAATATCTTTCTTCTATCGCGTGTTTGCGCTGTCAATTCAGCGATTCTATAGCCATTTTGTAGGCGCGGTGAAACTCGCGCGGCGTATTCTCTCCGCGTTGGAAAATGACGGGTCGCGAGGTCGCCACGCGAAAATGTCCGTAATCAGAGATACGCGATAGCCAAATATGAGGCTGCGAGATATCCTTTTAACAACCGGGGGTCGATCTATCCCGCGCGGACATCCTTCTCTCATCCTCCTCCTCTCGCGATAATCTCTTTCCTGGCGCGTATGCATATGCATGCGTATTTATGCAGCTTTTGACTTTTTCGCCGCTGATTAATTAGCGTCTCCGCAATTACGTGCAGCGGGGAATTACTTAACGCGCGCGCGCGCGTCTATAAATCCGTCGCGGCGGTGACACGTGTCTTAGGGGGATTCTCGGCCGGCGAGTTTCGAAAGTGAAAAGCGACGTCAAAAGCGCGGCACGATATGAATCAGTTGCGGGATCTAGGCCGTTATTAAAATACGACACCTGCAGGCCGGCGTGTCCCGGGCCGTTCGTGCACACGGCCCGGAGATTAATGAGACGCTGGACCAGCACGGGTGGATGCCCGGTTTAGAAAGTTCCCCAAAGTTGAGGCCAATTGACTCTAGCTGTCGGTGCGCGTCGTGCGACTCCGTCGACTTTTATTGTCGGCCGCGCCGCAAGTTTATAGCCGCGGATCTTCGTCGTTTATGCGACTCGAAGTGAACAAAAGGTCTCATGAACATTCTAATGATCCTACGCCCCCGCGGTGGATATTAACTCCGGTCTCGCTTCTTAGAAGTCTACGGGGAGGCGAATTAACCATCCAGGCGGGATCCAACGAGAGGAAGAGCCTGGGACAACAACTTACTACCGCGGCAGCGGCGCTAAACGTGCAAGCAGCTCCCCGTTTTATTATGTGTAAATTGCAGAATGGTTTACGGGCGTCTAACAGACTTTCCCCTTTTGCGGTGCAAAAGTGCCGGCATTTAAAGCGGGGCTTGTTGCGCGATGAATACATAATTTGATAATTCCCGACGCTCGCGTCGTTGACCCGGCGCGGCGTGTCGTCCCGTTGTCTCCTCCGGGTGCGGTGTAAACTTTCTTCACAAATGTCAGAGGTACAGCCCTCCGTGTAATAGCGCCTCCTTTTTTTTCCCCACCTTGTTTACGCACTTAAGAGCATTTCGCGCTCGCTGAGGAATCCACTCATTTTCTCCGATTCACGGTTGACAGGGAGTTATGGTTGACAGTGCTCGAATGGCTTCTCCGCCTCGCTTTATGTCCCGGCGAAAACGGAATTTCCTCGATCCCCCATGCGAACACGTCACACCGAAGCTCCCACCGCGGCAGTTTGACGGATCGCAATCGGGGTGAAAGTTCAAACCCCACAAATCGCTTCCGATGGGTGGCTCGTGGCCTTTCCAGGGCGTAGCCGTTCGTGCTATCGGAATGAATTACGTTGCCGGCCCCGTTTGAATAAATTCCACGTGAAATCGACGGATCGTGCGACGCCCTTGTTCAAAATGCCGGGCTCGATAATGAACGACCGAACACTGCCCGTTGCCCGAGAGGTCTCTCGCATTGCTCATTGTCGTCACTGTGTCATTATGGAAACGCGAGGAACGTAAAACGAAAGGAGCATAAAACGTGAAGGCATCACCGAGGCACGGCACTTTCCCAAATTGTTCGTAACTACCTGAACAAGCGTGAGGACATATAATTCTAGACGTGGGCATCGAAATCGAAGGTGATTACCGTTAATGGATTGACAGGGGAAAAAAATTGCTCGCTGTCTATTCCTCGAGTGAACGTGTAACGCAAAAAAAAAACGAGTGTCCATTAATTTGTATTCCCATGGAACCCCAAGAACAAGAGGAGCATGGGGAAAATTTCTTGAGCACTTTCGATGTGTATTTACTTTTACTTTCATAGTTTAATACCGTGAGAACGGGAAACATCTCAAAGCCACATCACTGCCACTAATGCTAGGCATCACACGCCAATGCTGGAATGTAATAAAACTGGCGATACTTTGAAAATTCTACGGGCGTCGAGATGAAGCACGTAACTCGAGCGTTTTTACGGTAGCCCACGCCGTGCTGAATTTCGATTATTCACGGCGATGTAACAAAGCTCTGCGGCATCCATCCGAGTTTCTCTCCGCGTAAATACCAAAGTTTATTCCCAAGAGCCGCGCATATGCGCTCTATACACGCGTGTAATTAAAGATACGCGCTTCTAATTGCGTTCGAGTTCAGCGGAAACATAATGGAATCCCCGCCGAGTTCTCGCGTTTATCGTTTCCTTCCTCGATCGGTACTCGTCTCCTCTTAACGTGTCGAATCCTTGGCAGTCCCAGTGCGCGAGTAAGCAAATTGACAAAATTCTAAAAATCCATTCTTTTACTTAATTATGTATGCACACGGGGAGAATTTTCTCTTCAAATTATCCTGAAAACCATGCAATCGTGCACAGTTGAAAAATTTAACAGATATCACATATGTGGAACAACATGGCATTTCGAACAATTTTATGAGATATTGGCCAAATGAACGATATGAGATCATTAACAATTGTGTGAACAGGTATAGATTTATGGTTTACACTTTCGTTATAATTACTTTCTTTTTTATATATATATAAAAAAAAGTTTAGTGCTGAGTTATGTACGTTTGCAGATTACTTGAAAAGAGTCCAAATCTGAAACCGAAACGTCGTTTTTTTTAAATATATAAAAACATTGGCCAGTGTAGATCGTTTTAAAAAAAATCATATCATTAATTTTATGGGAGTTCTCTGAAATTCTATTATACATTTTACTAGTAAAAATGTGTACTAAGTATAATTATTAGTGAAATGTACGGTAAAATTTCGAAAAACACTCGTAAAGTTCTTCAAAGTGTCACGTTGTCCCACGATTGCATGATTTAAATTTTAAGAGAAAATTCTCTTCGTGTATGTATATTTAAAAAGCTATTGTGCCTGCGAAGGTCCCGTTGAAAGTTCCCTACAATGTCGCGGTATTCGTTATTATATACACTTTTCAATTTTCCCGAGAAGTATTTAATTATGTATGCGCGTCTTTTCGGCGACGACACTCGTATACGCGCGTTCTCGCGTAATTACATAAAACATGCAAATCGCCGGTCTCGCTCGTACGGCTCGAAAGCCATAGGTACGTGTTTACCATGTTTTTAGGAGGAGAAAATCGCCTACGGGCCGTTGTGAATCTTCCACTTCATAACGGGACTTACGGAGATAGACTGAGGCGGACAGAGACTTTAGCTTTCGATCTCTCTCGAATCAATACGGTGAAACCAGTCATAAATGCTCATTTTTGTGTCATCAAAATCTCGTCAATATCGTCACATTTATAAATAAGTTCTGTGGTTTATCTTTTCCCAACCGACCTCGTTACATTAAAACTATCTTCGATCGTGATTGAAAGGAGTCGATCTATTAGCGACTTGGGGATAAATGTCGCCGCAACACTTTAGCCTCGTGGCGCGAGAGGCCAGATAGAAAATATCGAAGCTTGACGATTATCAATGAATGTAATCTGTCCTGTAATGTTGTACTATTTTAATATCTCGTTGTAACTTTGCAGGTAGCCCTAACAATTGTAGTAGCCTGCCTCAGTCTGGCTAGGTCTCAGAAGTCTGAGATCTCAGCTAAGGGTCTTGAAATTCCACCGCCTCCGGTAAAACTCGACAAAAATCTACGGCAAGCGTTGCTGAGAGCGCTGACGGAACTAGAGGCCGAGTCCGTGGAGCAACGACAGGACGAAGATGAAAAGTCGCTCATTATGACCGTCGAAAAGTCTTTCGACGATGTGGTGAAGAAGAACCTGAACAATAACATCGGCGTGATACCGAAGGCCTCCTTCTCGTTCGACGGCTTTCCGGGGGACGAGGAAATCCCCAACGAGGAGAAGTTGCAGAATTCGAGCTTTTTCGAGCTGAAGAGGTACGTTTCGGCGAACACGTCGGGGATGATCGAAAAAGCGAGTTACGACGACGCCAGAAGCTTCCACGTGCAGAACGTGATTCTGCTAGATAAGAGTACAACGCCGCGTATCGAGTCTAAAACGGACCCGCTGGAGGCGAAGACTCTGAAAGCTTCCGCGGTCACGTCCGCGGTTAGCAAGGTAGAGAGTATCACGCTGAAACCGATTACGCAACTGTCAGAGAGCTTGACCCAAAGCGCCAGCAACGGGATTACCGGTGCCAACGCGCTGATCGTACCAAAACCGACTGCATCTAGTCCGACAGTTCCGCCCAGGAGCAATGTCACTTCGTCTTCTAGCGCCAACAAGGAAAGGGCTCAAGCGGAGGAAGTGAAAATTTTCCAGGCGCCTCTAGTGGCGGCCTTCACGGTGCAGCAGGATGAGCTTGGTATACCGAAGAGCATCGTGCCGATTTACAGGCAATTAAACGATGGACAGGCTTTGACTCTTCAAGAACAATTGGAGTTTAAGCAGAAATTGCTGGAGCAGCAGCTGGTGGAGCTGCAGCAGCAGCAGTTCCAGCAGACGCAGTTTCTCGTCAGGCAACGTCAGCTCTACGATCAGCAGTTGAAGCAGAAACAGCAGCAACTGTACCTTCAGGAACAGGCTAGAATCAAGCAATTTGAGGAACAGGCTAAAATCAAACAGTTGGAGGAACAGCGGTTGAAGCAGCTGGAGGACCAGAGGCTCTTCCGCTTGCACCAACCCAATCATTTCCCATTGCTGCAGAAGCCGCACATATTCGAACAGTCGAACGTGTTGCCGCTTCAGCCGCCTCAACCGCCTCAATCGCCCGTTGAGCCTACGGTTCATTTTCAGCCTAGCGTGTCCCTGGAGGTCCCCAGCGTCGCGGCGCCGCCGTTATTCCGCACCAACTATCAAGAGCAGTTACATTTCCAGCAGTTCCGTCAGCAACCCCAACCGCAGCCCCAACCCCAACCACAGCCCCAACCCCAGCAGCAGCGATTGCAGCAGAATTTCGTTTCGTTTCCTACCGACTTCCAGCCGCCCGTGGTGCCGCCCACCAGATTTAACAGGCAGGAGGCCTTTAACGCCGTCGGCAATTTCGGTTTCAACCTGGATAACAAGCAACCGCCTCCGTCGAGGAACACGTTCAACTTCAACGCGCTACCGAGAAACCAAAATACAATCCCTACGTTCGTTTACAATCCCTACGTGCAGTTCAGGCAGATCCCGACAAGGGGGCAGACACCCGCGAAGCAGATCCAACGTCTGATTTACCAGTCGGGAGTCGCTGGTGAGTTGGGCAACGTGCAGGGCCCGGGTGACGAGGACCTCAACATCGTGTCCAAGGTATTGGCGCTGAACGTTGGCGCGCTACCCAACAAGAACTATCAATTCATCACGAACAATCGCGGCAAATTGGGCAGCGCGTGAACAGACAGATGGACGTATCGATGTAAAACTCCGACGAGTCGTGTAAATCACTACAGGACGATATTAGCAAGGTGAAATCGAGCTCTCTCCTTTTCTCTCTGTCTCTTCTTCCTCTCTTTCGTCCCCCGTCCATTTTCTTTCCATCTTGGCCTACTCCTAACGCGGATACCCTCTAATCTCTTGAAACTTTGACATTGAAACACACACACACACGCGCGCGCATCGGCGACAAAGGCCGGACATCATCGCGGATTTTGCAGGCACACGCAAACCTACACACAAGTACACGTGAAGAACGGTTATTCATAGCTCGCGAGAGGCCGCGGGATGACTCGGTAAATTCAACAGTGCGCGAGTCATGACGATAGTAACCTTGAACACCAGCATCCAAGTGAAATCGAATCGTTTTGCCCTCGGTGAGTTACCTCCGCGAAATTTTACTCTCCGTCGCATCTCCGACGACCGATAGAAGCGTGAGACAAACGCTGCGGAATAGGCGCTTCAGGGAGGCGGGAGGATCGGCATAACGAGGAAGCTGTTCCTTTAGCGGGCGTATTAATTACGATTGTATGTATCTTAAAACAAGGGCCTTCCCGTGCCCGATTGCGCAAGTTCGCACTGGCTGGTTCGCGTGACGCAGAACACTGTATATAATTGTGTGACTCCAGCCCCGCTTCCTTGTCCCTTTTGATTTTCTCTTCCATTCTTGATACAGCGCTCACGACGCGAGCACTGCCAGCCTCGTCGATATAATAGCAAGAGCACGCTCAATGGCAGAGAATGCGAAGAAGCACGTAATCATAAAACGTAACCGTAGCAATAAGCGTATTTATGTTAACAGGAGGAGGATTAATCCACGCGCTTGACGTGACAGGCAAGGAAGGCGGAAATCTCTCGCCGGGCCCTGGTGAAAATTTTTCTCAGAATTCTCATGCGAATTGGTACACTTTTCGGAGATACTGAAAAAGGTCCGCTCCTTTTCTTAGAATTTTTCACATGTATATGTGAATATTCTGAGATACATAAATGTTTGAAATTATAGAATGGAAAATTTCAGAATTTGTATGAAAAATTCTAGAAAAGATATCAACTTTCTCGGTACTTTTGAAAAGTGTTTCGACTTTTTTGTACAAAATTACAAAATTATTGAAAAGATGTTAGAAATTCTGAAATTTGCCTAAAACTTATGAAGCCTGAGAAAAAATTTCACCAGGGGGCTCGCATTAGTTATATTATTACGTTCCACTTGGGTTTGACGCTCGAGGCGTTCGAGAAAGAAAAGTATTCTCGGCAAAACTACGACTTTGCCAAATTCTTCCTTCAAGTAAATCTGTAATATGTTATTTCTCGTGTCGAATTTCTAACGCGTGCGGCTAACACAAATTACTTATTCTCTACGAAAAAATTAATTAATCCGCCTAATTACTTCTTCAGAGAAATCGTTGCACAAAAAACAAACCAGTCAAGTCCAAGTTCATCAAAGATCAAAACTCTGTTGTTGATTAATTGACGTTTTACAACCGTGTGTATGTGTGTGTGTGTGTGTTGAGTTTTAATGATTAGTTCTAACGAGATGCTCGCACATATATGCGCGTACAAACGCACACACGGGAACTCGTACGGGATCAGGGGTCTCGCGAAGTCGTGCATCGAGCCGCGCATCGGGATTGAAAACGCTTCTTCGACTGTAAATAAACTTTCCCCGGCGGGTACCACACAATGCCGACGAGGAAGCCGCCGACGCGAGAGACACATCTCTCGCGCGCGTATATACGTGTATGTCCTCAATTTCACAAACGTTTGGCACAGATCCGTGATTTCACCCGGCGGGCGAATCGGCGAATCTCGTGGGACATCGGCGTCTCCTCTTGTCTTGATTTAAAAAAAAAATAAAAAATTCGGCTCAATTTATAGGCAGTCACAATTAATTTGGCCGGCGTCACGTCCGTCCGGTATCGTCGTGATCGGCAAACGAAGGCGCCATTATAACTTATCTCTTTATTCCCCGCATAAATTATATGCGTCCCACGTATATTTACTCGCGCTGGAAAGAATGCATTCTGCCATTCTTCCTCTCGTAAATTCTCTCCACGGTAATCCGATAGCATCGCGGCTCATCTCCGCGGCGTTATTTATTTCTATTCGATGTTCGAGTGCCGCACGAATTAGTAGAGCCCGACGCCGCGAATGAATAATGATAGATTCGCATTGATTAAAGATTTAAGCTTTGTCTCGAAACTGAAATCAACTGTTGGATGCGATGCACCTTCGGCGAGAGTGACTGCGTGAGCGAAAGTTGATGGCGATTCGTTCATAAATGCGAGTCCTTTACGAGCGCTAGGTAAAGCTTGCGCGACTGAACGTAACATTAAAATAAAATAACATTAAAATTAAATATAGATAGTGTTAGACGTGTAATTTGCTTATAATTTATCTGACGCTGGATTGTACGAATTCTTGTGTATAAATGTTAATAAACTAATTTGTTTACACGGTTAGTCATTTTATTCACGTTATCGCGAATCCATTGTGAAAGATACAGAGACTAGAACGTGAATGTAGACCAAGTTTGTTATTTACGTCATTATAATATTGTACATACATAATATGTATTTCTTATAAATTGTACGAATCAACATTTTTTAAAGAGATTAATCGGGTAGCACGGGGGACCCTTCTCTTCTTTTCGAATTTCCGAATTATGAAGTAAATTCTTTTTTCCATTCCATTTCTGCCTTAAAAACATTCTTAGGCCCGGTGTCACCAAACGTCGCTTAACTTTAATCACAGTTTAATTCATGTTTGGCTCTTTCTAAAGTAACAGTTGGAAAGAGACAAAGAAGGGATTAAATTAAGCTTAAATTTAAACGACGTTGGTGAAACCGGGCCTTAAGAATTCGAAAAGAGTTCGATCTTATGTCACCAACTTTGAGCTCTTTTTCAGGTACAAAAGTTATTCTTTATGTTCAGAGCAACTTCCACAAGTTATAGGCAAAGAGGAGACTATGGAATCCCTTTTGAAATACCGAAAAGAATTCTTTTGATGTTCACTTTAAAGACAATTCGTAGGAAATTTAGAAGAGCGAATCCTTTTCGAATTCATTACGATCGTCCGAGCTATTTGGGTATATTGATCCTAAACTTGCAGTAATGACGGAGAATAATGATTTTCAATTCTTTACAGATTATTGAAATAAATTATTATCAACGTAAGCCTGCTAAAAATTTTGTTTACAATGAAAAATCCCACTTCTTTCCTTAGAATCTTTCATATACGTGAATATTCTGAGATATAAATGTTTGAAATAATATTACATATGTATAATAGAATGAGAACCTGTAGCCCTAAGGGGAAAACAATAAAGATTATTATATAATAGAATGAGAACTTTCAGAACTCGTACTTCTGAAAAATGTTCCAATTTGTATAAAACATGTAAACATCTTTGTAAAAAATTATAAAATTTTCACCAGGAAAGTTATCTAATGGCCGATTTTTTCACTTCCCGATAAAATTATCCGGAGGTTAATCTCAAGTTTTAGCCAATCACGTGCATGGATCTGGTAGTTTATCTCCTGGTTAACTTTAACCGCAACATAACTGGATGTGAAGAAATCGGGCATAAAACTTTTAAATGTACCTACTTTAAATTTGTATCATTAGAAGTTGATATGTCATATATGATTAACATCGGTGACATTTGTGCGTAAATGATCAAAAAATGACATCTTCTCTTATCTCCTATTTCACTTAACATTGTATACAAAAATTATACTTTTTATGTAAATGTGTTTTAAAACCTGTCTTCCCGTAGCGAGCGTTTTATCGCGCCAAAATTCACTGCGCATGCGCGCAAGAGGCCCGGCCCGTCTAGTCTAGGAACACGGAGTCCCGGTAACGTGTCGGACTTTTACCCCAGAGTTACTAATAAAGTGTCATCTGTAACTACGCCTGTTTAAAAATGACGGAAGAGAAAATTGGCTCGTTAGAGGAGGAGGCTTTAAAAAGAAAGGAGCGGCTTCAGGCGCTCAAGCGGAAGAACGACGAGGGCAAGGAAACTGCGGACACGATCGAAAATTTGCCGAGGTAAGCCTCGTGTCAATAATACAGATAACTCTAACCTCACGTCGCCGCCGAGTTGCTCCGAGCCTCGTGTTTGCAGGCCAAAATTTCGGAGTTACAAGCCGCAGGACGAGAGCCTCAAGAGTAATGTGATAGAGGAAGCGAAACCCGGCGACGTGGAAGCCGTAGTCCAGGAACAGCTGGACGCTGCGAACACTAAAGTGGTTATCGAGGAACTGGTAAGTCGGCGTGTTCTGCAAGACGTTTCCTTCTACCACATTTTATCTACGGATGACAGCCTTGCGATATTTCCCTTAGAGATTTACCTGTTTCAAGTATCCGCTGAGCAAAGATGATCTATTAAAATTTCTATACACATTGCGTTTTCTCGATATGACCATATTTCTGCAGTATTTTGCACACAATGTCTCATTTGTAGCTTCCGTTTCATTTATTTCCTTCATTTACCAGGACATCAGTAATTTAGCACCAAGAAAGCCTGACTGGGACCTAAAGCGTGATATAGCCAAAAAATTGGAGATATTAGAGAGGAGGACGCAGAAGGCGATAGCGGAAGAAGTGAGGGCACGTCTGAAAAAAGGCGAACAGAATCTAGCAGCTTACGTAAATAATCCTGAAAAAGATTGAATAGCACCGTGAACAGAAATATGTATATTTTGTAACAAATTGTGTATTTTTTTATTTATACAATATATATTTTATAATCAACATTTATTTGTAGCTCATCGTTATTTCTTATAAGTAACGCGTGGGACTTAAATAGCTTGTACGGCTTCTTACGAATTAAATATCCGCTTAAATTCACTCGCACAGAGAATGACGCGTATCCACTCATTTTAAAATTCAAATCTTGTAATGCAAGTATTTGCTCTTAACAACTGTTATTTGTACATGTCAGATAACATTTCGTTTGATGTATCCTGTGTTGTGTGTGTCATGATCTTGAATTGCTCATGTCAGTGTTAATGTTGAAAAATAAATTATTGCGGCAAAATTAAAAATCACATGAGTAAAATGTTAGTTACGTGAAATCATGAGAAATTAAAATATCTCAATCGTCGATAATCGAATAATATGAAGCTATCTGATTCCTTTTCGCTTAATTGTACATTCGTATTTACTAATCGTCATTCTCTCTCTCTCTCTCTTTAAAGATTACAATAACAATTGAAAAATACTCTTTGACTAGAATATTTCGTATCGAAGATTTCACATGGCAAACAGAAAGATTGCCACAAGAGCTCCTAATGCGACGAACAGAATCGGCACCTTGATGCCCCGTTGTCCTGAATGCCCGTCAAAATTATGGTCGTTAGAAGTGCTACCCGGTGGGTCCTGCTCTTTTGGAATGTTGTGGAGAACTACTCGGTCCTCCAAAGGCTGCACCGGCCGGAAATTGTGAGTCAATTTGTTGCCCTCGGCAGTCCGTAAGTCGCGAAATGCAGCCAACTGAAATTAACCGTGAACTCTACTACTTACATATCAAATTGGCGCGTGTGTACATAGCTTAAGTAAATGAACATCTGTGTCAAAAGAATTATCAATTCATAAATAATGTTATAGCGTTAGAGAAATTATAGTGCTCGCAAATCACGTTAGGAGACCTGCTCGTGTGATAATTGTTGATGATCCTTAAAGTCAATCCACGTAACAATCTCGAGACAAGGTGGAGTGGTTAACGAGCCGTTGTACGTGTAGTAGTCCTCCGTGTTCGCAAACTCTGGCCCAAGTAATTTTCCCAATAACATAGGCTCTTGCAACACTTTCCCCTTACCCATCGCTTCTATATCAGGTAGCACTTTTACAATAGGTTCATACGTTGGATTCGGTTGCGGGCTCACCTACATTTTTTTGGCAGACACGTAAGAGTGTTTCGAAAGAATTGCAACGATACAAAAGGAATTAATTAACTGCGTGCAAGAATGCCGAAGTGAAATTTCCAAAATTGACGTGATCTCTTACCTCGTACCAGTATGACAAAACAGCCAGACCGTCATCATGCTTAAGAGATTCGCCTATCGACTTGTAGTCTTCCTTGTAAAACACGGCGTGCATTTCCATCGGGAACGAATGATTGTTCATCAAATCCTCGGATCCCTCGTAATCGTTCTCGCCCCAATGAAAGTGCAATTGTTCAAACACGTAAACATTATCCCTCAAGGGTCCTCCAGACAGCACGGCCACTTTAGATTCGTTAGTCTTCAGCATAACTTGATTGAGGGAAAGAAGAAGTTTCATGCAGCAGCATGCGATTATTACAACATTAAAGATACCCGTGTGTTGTGTACAATTATCAAAGATAGTTTTTTTTTTATGTAACACTGCGTATAAAAGTAATCTCTGTACCTAAGGTCGATTACGTATTAACATGATCATTACGGCGGGATTTAACCATCAGTAATAACACGTGCGAATCATTTGTGAACTTTTTGCCTCAGCGTTTTAGTCACCTCTATTCAACATTCATGTGATTTGCCAGTATGTTTGTACCAGAGGCGATATTTATAATTACATGGCACAACGTCTCGTTTTTCCTCGTTTCCTTGTTTTATTGTCCCGATTATTATGTCGTAACGGTAGCGTTTTTCTCGGCTTTAATCCGATCCGTGTTCACGCGATCGCGGAGGGGTTTCCCAATCGAGATCGCTTAAGGCGAGCCGCGAGAAAACCTCGAGTTGAACGAGCAACGAATCCAATGTCTTTCTCTCTCAGCGTACCGCATGTAAAACCGAACCGTGAAATTCTCACCCGTGTGACCGTTGTTCGTCACGTACGACTGGCACGGATTGTCAATGCCGGTCAATTTCAGTGGCGGTAGGTTGACGCTCTTGACATTGTGCTCCTCTATGTTAATAGGCGACTGATGTTTCCCAACGCACGTATGAAACTCCTCTCCCCAGTGCGACGGACCTGCGAATACAAGATTGGTATTACTTCGAAGCGCATTATTTTCATTGAATGTGGAATAACGAACTTTTCTGCCAGGCTCACCTAGACTTCCCTCGTAACTGAAGTCTTGACCGCGACAGAAACCTGAAACAAAAATGTTTATTGTACTTACAAATCGCTCATTACGCAAATCTCGTAGAAAGGACAATTAACAACGATGAATAATGACGGGCGATGCTAACAGAATATGGTTTCGATTAGAAATGTGAGAATTATTCGAATAGGAATTGAATCGAATCAAATCGGGTGAGATTCGAAACCATTGATAATTTTGAATCTAGGTTCAAATACAAATTATATGCATTATCAATCTTATAAAATCACGTTTCCCGTTAATAAGCATAGCATCTAATAATTATATTGTTAATTAAAAATTATTTCAACAATTTGATTCGATTCGGATTTGAAAAAAAAATAGAAGTAAAATTTGACTCGATTCGATATAAAAAATTCTTGACTCGCACATCTCTAGTTTCGATTGTGATAATAAATAAAATAAACAAGGACGAGTACATGGATATAATGTTACACCCAGAAAATGTAAATACGGTTTCGTTTCGACAAACAGATTCCCTAATAGAATTCTATGTCCGAAATTGGCACTGTTGAAAGGGGAAGACAGCTTTAATTTCAACTCTTCTTGAGACGATATAACTCGATCGTTATAAGAAAGGCGTTAATATTTCCTGCTCACATCTCGATGTTATCGACGCGCTTTCTAACGGATCGGCCATTAAATGCGCCGGAAGATTTTCGCGGAAGTTGAAAGTCTATTTGAAGTTCTCTGTCTCTTGAAAGACAATTGGCCGTTTCCGCGCGCTTATTATGCGCCAGAATGCTTCTTGATTATCTAGCTAACGAGTGTACTCGCGATTCTTTCCCGCCGGCGCATATTCGGCGGCCAAGTCGTCCTGGTTGCTTTAAGGTTCTTCACATCTGCTCGGCACATGCTCGAGAGACGCTTTACTCGGGAATATTACTTTCGTTTTTTAGTCCAAACAGTCACGCGGGGACCGTCGACGTGACACTGCCTGGAAATCCTTGGCTGATTCAAAGCGATTATCTTGAGAATGATGAACATCCTCGGCGTCCTTCCATTACGCAAAATCTTTATTGTTGCGTACGATTACGTGAGACACGTGCAAAAGGAACATCGGTCCGAGACAACGATAACGTGACATTTCGAAAAAAAAAAGAAAACCGCAACGTTTCGCCTCGTGAAAATCTCTTACGGAAAAGCAATAAAATAATTACTAGAAAATTACTGTGCATCAGTAATTTCTAATTCAGTACTGACATACACTCGAAGATGCCCGACGGTCTGGAAGACCTTCCACAACACTCGAGGACCGCCTGAAGCAAGCAGTGGATGAAAATCCTTGCAGAAGTGTATTGAAACTCTCACAAGATCTCCACGTTCCCAAGAGTACGCTCCATGACAATAAACTCTTGTTTTAGAGCCTCAAAAATTCTCAGAACTTTTTGGACCTAATATTTCGTTACTTTTTGTAAGGGATATCTCGAGAAAGCGAGTAATTATCCTTACCGTTCGAGGAACCGCTAAAAAAATGTTATATCTTAAAGATATCGCTTGCTTTCGAATATACATATTATAATAATAACGTGCGTGTTAAGGTGAAAAGAAACGAGGGAACCATCGAATAGAGTCAAAAAGGCTGACAATGGCAGTTCTAACAATAGACTGAAATATATTCAATTTTGACAAAGATGTACGTTCGCGTAGACGCGTTTACGATTCATTAATTTTACACAACAAAATTACAGAGATCAATATCGCGTGGCTATGCGAATTGTTCCCGAGCTGCTACGTCTGCCTGTGACGAATTGACAGAACGATGCGAACCATACGTTTGCGCACGAGACCTTCATTAACATTGATCGTTAGAATTTCTCTTTAAAGTTAAATGCACGGCGTTTTGCTTTGCACATTAAACGAATTCACTCGATTACACTTTGTAATCAGATCGAAACATGCAGAACGTCAATTTTCGCAACGTCCTCCGCAATTGATAAAACATTTTTTCACAATGCGTCCTGATGCCGTGACATTCCGCCGTCAATTTATCAAATATATTATCTCTCAGGTTGACACGTACGCGCATATCTCAAGTGAATTTACATGTTTATGATAGTAAAAATAGCCTCGAAAACCGTAACTATCGTGTTTCGTGCTCGCGTTACGGCATGTGCTGATGCTCATCAGGAATTATGCAACTCCCAAGTTCTAGATCCTTTCTTTAATTGTAACTAATTACTCGTGAAGACGAGTACGCGCGTTTTAACGATAGCAGAAACTACGCATGCAGGCACATACATAAAACCGATGTAATACCTTTTGGATATATGGCAACTTTTATCAGACGATTCACTAAGAAAATATGAGACATCATTAATCCAGCCCGAGAGGATTACTTAACGCCCGCTTGGCGGCCCGTACGACGGATCATGAAAAATTTGTCGCTTCAGATAAGAATTCAATTTCCGCTTCGTACAACGCAATAATACATAATTCCATTTCAGAATGCTGCAAAGAGTTTTTCCGCATTCAATATGTAAACTGATCGGAGAGAACGGGACGTAACTACATTTATTTGTGGTGACTTAACTTAACATAATGATTCGCCTGACGTGTGTCACGAGAAGAATCCACCGTATTACGTTCATCACTTATGCACGATGGTCATTATTTTATATCGTTTGATACAACGATTGTTTCCATAGTTTGACATAGCGTATGTGCATACAACATTGAAATATTGACGCGTTGGAAACGGAAACTTTTGAAAGAGAATAGAATCCTGTACTTTGCCAGCGGCCTCTATTATTATTTTTAAAAAATTTATGTTGACAAGATTATAATCTTAATCGCAACTTCCGTATCCCCGTATTCCTCGCACGATGTTCCGCGGTCATCTCTTCAACGGTGATTTCAATTATGCATTTAATGCGATGTGCACTGAGATATTATCTCCTGATATTGCTCTTCGGGTATTGTAATTGAAATTGCAAATAAATTGTCTGATACCGATTTTATCGACTTAACGAGGCAGATAATTTATTTGTCTCATGTCGTTTTGTTCTCGTGTACTTAATTACATTTTATCGCACTCGAGAATAAAAATCGATCTTGTTTTACCGTTTACTACCGAACAGAAATACGTTTGTAATGTGATGATTTTGGTAAATTACATTATTGCTTTTCATTAAAACACGGCATTTTCAATCGCGAGATTCACACGATAAGCTTTCCGGGAAGCATCGGTTTATTTTTATTACTTTCTTCATTGTTGTGATTTCTTGTTGAAGCTAATGTCATAACTTTTATATTTTTCCTTACAAGTATACTAAGTTGACCAACTCAGAAAAAGAGACATAATATTTAGCAAATCCTGATATTTCTACATACAGAACGACATTCAACAGTTCTATGACATTGTGATTATTAAAACGACTAAAGTGCTGAGTATCGTGACTTATTTTCAAAGTAAAAACGCAAGTACCACGGCGATCTTAAGTTTATTAAAATGCGAAGTTGCTACTCTGCAGTTTAATTAATTTAACATCGCCGAATTAACTAGACCAATAAGTCACACTTTCATTGCAATCTGCAAAGAATAACTTTTCTGAAAAAGCTTGAAGCAGCTCGAAAAACAGGCATCTTCGAGGTCTACCCCAAGAAGCGCCAACGCGCGTATAATGTGCTTTAAATGTACATTTAAATTCGCATTTAGTGCACGTATTTGTCCTGCATTAAATGCGCATTGAATGTATATTGTGGCAGCACATCTCATAAAACTGTACCATTAACCGCCTATGCATGATGTTTCATGCCTAAGCATGTATAAATATAGAGAATTACATAAAATTATATCCCAAATATGCCCAGACATGTTAAATACGCGCATTTTGGACACACGATTAATGTTGTTTTGAAGCCAATGCAATAAAACGCGCATTAAAAGCACGTTCTATGCCCATTGGCGCTCCTTGGGATACGTTAACTCTATGCGGTGAAGCTGTTCTGAAGTGATCGTGCTAAGGGTTCAAGCGGAGACTCACCCGACAGGAGGAGGAGGCTAAGACAAACGACCGAAAGCACCATGATCGTTCACCCCGTCAGCGTACACCATGAAATCTCGCGGCACTGGCAACGACTTGCCGATTCGTCGAGGACTCAGCGAGGTGATGCGAGTACTTCTGTTGCGGTCGGTGGTAGACTGAGTACTGCCGGCTCGGTCGACCATGTTAAATAAGAGTTCGCCGCTTCTATTTCGCGACGTGCGATCGACTCCGCGTGGTCGCGTCGGCCGCGGGGAGGGAAGAACGATTTGTCTCATGACGATCGGCGGAATCAACGCGGCGAGTAATGACTTCAAGATGCGACCTTGAAAACTGGGCAAAAAATAGGCGAATTAAAAACGGCTGGGGCACAAAGCTCCGGCTCTTGATAAACAAATTGGCAAATCACAGGCTGATTGCTCGAATCCTTTCTGCGCGGTGATTCGCGAGACCAATCGAACATCTGCAGAATTACAGGCAGTTATTTAGAAGCTTGCCATCTTGGAAGTCGAGGGGTAAGCCGCTGACCAAAATCATGTGCACCAGTGCCTACTAATGCAATTCGACAGTGATGCCCAGTGGGCATTACTTTGTCGTGTTATCTTATTTCATCTTGTCTTATCATTTTAGATTCTTTGTAACGCCCCAGAAAGGCCAAATAACATCCATTAATGCCCCAAAAATGCCTAGTGATGCCGCAAATTTGTACATCACGATGCTCTCAGCGGTTTACCCCTCGTGGGAAATATGTTACTTCTGTTATTTTGATACTACATTCAAGTGTCAAAAGTTTATATCTGTATGTCTGCACTTCTCCTCTCTTCGTCTCACGTCGTTTTTGCCGCGGAATTGTAAAAATATCCGATCAATTTTTCGCGAGTGACTGCGTCGGAAGTAAATTTTTTTTTTTTCAAGAAAAAGTACAACGAGTAATTATTTTAATTTCTGTCGGAGGAAGAGAATTCTTGCAGCAATATTAAAATATTATTTTTACATTTTTCGCGATGACAATCTTTGTGTAATTTCGGTCGTTTACTAAATTTAACACCTATCGAACTCAGCTTTCTCGTAGCAAAAATGACAAAAAAAAAGAAAACGAGGACCGCTTAAAACTTCGGCAATCAGACGCGAGGTTCTCGCTTGAGCAAATCTTACGATTTAGCGCTCTCCAAACGTATGTTTCACGAGCGCAATTTTGCACTCGTGTTTAGTAGCAAGCCAGGTCGGTAGTGTTTGCCACATTATTTAGTATTTAACAGTCCATTTGACTGGCACAGGCGGAAATCTCTTGAATATATCTGGCGATATGTGATGAATAACTTACAGCACCTTCCTACCGCCGACGCTTTTCGGTATCTCTCAACTTCCGTTTCGCGAAAATTATTCTCTGTGGTCTTCTCCGGCGTAATCCGACCAAACGACGGTAATCCACGGCAGATTTGTTATACAATTCGCGATCTCATTTCCCAAATTGGCCATTGAAAGATTAATAACATCCTGTTTTTATCAAAATGCCACGGAGAGAACGACGTCCTTTTATTCGGATTCTATCAACGAGAGGCTGATTAGATCCTTACGGCTCGCATTATAGTCGCCTCTAATCTTCATTCACGGAAAAAGCTTTCGGTGTAGTTGGAAAAAAATTCATGAAGTACGCAGAAACTTGTAGAGACAAAATGCGACAGGGTATCAGTATTCGTTATAAGTAAAATAATGTAGAGTGTAATATTACACGCCAGTTTGTCCATAATTTTCATGTAGATTTCAAAAAGCATCGTTTACTAAAACATCTTCAATAACGATTTCATAATGATTCGTTCTCGTTTCTATTTGATTTGTATCCTAAAGGTCCTGATTTAACTTTAGTACATCTTTGATAACATGTTGCTCCTTAAAATTTCATCTTTTGTGCAGGAAAACACAGGAATATTGCGCGAGGTATTGTTGAACACTTGCACGATAGTGTTCGAGACGAGAATTTCATCGAGATTGGCAGAGGCAACGCGTTCGATCTCGCAAGCGTTTCGCCACCGACGAACGGCGGTGGATGTGTAACAGAAATCTCCGCGAGAGAGGACGGATCGCGAGCGAGATTGACGCAAAACACGAAGCGGGATTTTTGCAGGTTCTCGCTCGATTGAAATATCTGTACCAAAAGAACAATACGTTCGCGCGTCGAGTAACAGTAGTTACATTACGTAAGAGAATGATCGATCGCGCGAATCAAGGATTGATCCGGGAGTTTCCCCTTGATTGATTCTGGCATTCACGGCGTCTCGAGCAACACCCCAGCGAGAACACTACCCTAGTAGCACAGTGCATTGGCTAAACATTGGCTAAATATTGGTCCAACGTAAAGCCAATATTGGAACAAGTGTAAATATTGCACGATAATAATTATATAATATTAGATTTGTATTGGAAGTGCATTAGCTAATATTTAACAATGTAATAAGAATATCGGTCTAATATCGGTACAATATTGATGCAATATTAGACCAATATTGCTAAATAAACATATTGGCTAAATAAGAGAAGGTGTCCATCTTAATATTAGACAATATTGGATCAATACCCTAGCGGAAAAAATTTTCTATAAATAACTACAAAAAATTGACTTGAAATAGAAATTTGTAGAAATTTTCATATCTTCGTTGAAACGTTAATTTTTTGTAAAAATATCTGCGAAATAGTACCATACATTACAATTATATTCTCAAATCAAGAAATTATTGCAAGATAGTATTTCATGAAAATGTACAATTTTGTAAAAATTAGTACAAAACTTTACTAGTTTAAAAATTTGGAGAAACAACAAAATCTTAAAGAATTAAAACATCTGCTTACTTGTAGAATAAAAGTTAACAAAAGTGTTCCAATTCTAGGTCCATTTTCATGTTGATTTTTATAACACTTTTTAAATTTACGTAGAATTTCTTAGATTCTGGTAGTTATATTTTATAGTTTTGTAGAATTTTGAAGAACTATTTCCAGCAGAGTATTGGGAATACTAGATTTACATTATTTTCCAATATTGCGCCAATATATTGTGCTACTAAGGTAACGTCGAATCAACGTCGAATTGACGTCAATGGGGTCGAAAACGCGTCCTAATCGTCAGTTTTTGAAAATAATTAAGTTTGGCAACTTAATTTTTGTATTAAATTTTGTATTAAAATCAATTTGCATTCAATAAGTCTCTCCGAAAAGATGTTAAAAGTATTCAGGATGTTGAACGTAGTAATTTAATACAAAAATGATAACGCTAAGCCTTAAGAAATTGACTAATCGCAGTCGCGTATTCTACTCATTACGTACTTGACCGTGATTGATCAATTTCTTAAGGTTTAGGGCTTTAATCATCTATTGTAGACTGGGACTTAGTGTTCACACCGGGTCGACTTTCCAGCCGCGACTTTATTAGCGACCGACCGCGCATTTTACGTCGCGATAAAGAATTGTCCCGATGCGCGTGCAACGTCAAGTGTCACGCTCGTTAGAATTTATTCGTCGGGACGAGATATCGCTTCTGCTAGAATTCTAGAAAATTAAGCGTAATTGGTCGCGCTTAACAATGCTGCGCCGGTGAACGACGAAGGCGTAACGTTGCTGCTCGGCTATTGTTTGTCGATTGCACAACGCCAGAAATTGAGATAACAATCGGGTAAGGTAATGCGTGCGATACGGCTCGCAATTTGTGGTTACCCGATTGTCGACGTATCATCAGTCATGGATGCACGGTGCGCGCGATGTAACCCGCTGTTCGCTATACAAATGGGAAGGTGATGAGGACAGCAATTACAGCTCGGCTCGTGATATTTATGTATTTTACACGGCGTTTACCATTTGGAGATGCGATCGGCATCTCGGTCGGTCGCGATTAAACACGCGATTCTTACGTTGCTGAATCGTTTCGCTCGTAACGCGTTACATAAATATATTACGGTCGTCGAGCAAATAAATTAAATGCATTTTCGCGTAGCAATTACTTTATTCGTTTAATTTGCGCGTCCATGTCGGTGAGACATGTCTTCCTTATGACGAAAATTTGTGTAATCGTTGAAAATTCATCAACCTATAATATTAAGAATAGATGAAACAGGACCGATATATATATATAATGGATCTTATTGTTTTTATATTATCTATATATCAATAAATTTTGTATAGTTATATATTTTTATATATAATATATAAAGATTATATATAATATATAATATATGTCAATAAATTGATTAGAGATGCCATTTTTGGTCAGTTGGATTTTGGTAGCCCAATAATATTTTCTGCGTAAATTTCGTGTACTTTTTTCAACTCCGTAAACCATAAATTATTTATTAATCTTAAGATCTTTACGTTATTATAATATATCAAGTTTGATCCAATAGCCGAAACATCATCCGTTTATAATTTCAGCAGGGTTGGGAAAGTTACTTTATAAAAGCATCTAGTTACAGTTACAGTTTTTTTGCTAAAACTGTAACTATAAGTTTAGGTAAAACGAACAAACCTTATTTGTATAAATATAATATATAGGCCTAGTTTACATCGATCATTTAATACGCGTATTAAGTAGTTATTTCCTATAAAATAAATTTAGTCATTGGCTGATTAGTTAGAACTCACTATTTGATACGCGTATCAAATGATCGGTGTAAACTAGGCTATAGTTTGAATTGAAGGTTTTTCACTGCCTAGGAAGTTTTTTTGAGTATGCGCGGAAGGTTTCCCCATTCCAGTATGGAACATCACTGGTGGTAGGCCTTCCCGAACGGCATCAGTGGCATCAATGCGTGCAGGTGCGTGCAGGTTTTGTGGGGAAAGCGTACAGTTCAGTACAGTTTTCCCACAAAGACCGCAGTCTACTGGATTATCGCGCGTTGCGTTGTCGCGCTGGTCTGCTAAAACCATTAAAAGCAGCGAGTGGTCGCCACAGACATAGTAAGAAGTTTCTAAAATTTGTACCAAGAAGACTGGAGACAGAAAGAAACCTGAGAGCGGCCACGTGGGTGTTTTACTTGATACCGTTTCAGGAGACTGTTTTGCACATCCTTACGTCCATTTTTACTTTTGGAATTACTTTGCTACGCATCTTCTGACACTGCCGATAAAATCTCCACTTTGTGCGTGTCCATACTACGCCTATTTTTCAGGATTGTGCTGAGTTTCAAAATTACATTAACATATAATAAATTATCTGCATTATTACATCACCTTTTTTCGTGTAGTCAATGTAAATTTTATAAATTAGATGTCAGAATGCGTAATAAAATAGTTCCAAAAGTAAAAGTGGGCGTAAGGATGCGCAAAACAATCTCCTAGTAGTTCATTAATTGGCCGGCGATCATACTGCGAACAACGTTCATGAAATGCGACCACGAATACGTTTCCACCGAGGGTCAGAGTCGGATCAGAATCGGGTTGAGGTGAGCGGTCTTGCGGTGGAAACACCAAACCCCAACCCGATTCTGATCCTCGGTGGAAACGTAGTCCATATTTTCACTCACCCCCACCAGCCCAGTGAGAAATGATTCGTCGATCGACGAATCATTTCTCACTGGGACTGGAGTTCGATTCTCTCGGTCTCCAGTCTTCTTGGTTTGTATATATATTATACACTTCTTCAGCCAAATGCGCGGTCTATACGTACGTCATGAGCGCAACTGAATCGTTCTGTAAAAACTGCCGGGAGCCTTGTGGAGGAGAGCATTGGAAATTTGGTCGCTCACTTCGTTCTCCTTTCCGCGAGCGATGATCGCGATGCGAATTCCGTGTCCACGGCGAGGCAGCCGGTTGGTCGCGTCGCGCGAATGGCGCGCGCATCGCGAGTCGCTGGGAAATCCCCCGGGGTCGCGAAAACTCCCTAACGGTTCTGAATACAGAATGGCGCGCGCCGCGCCAGTTCACGCTCGCGCTCCTCGCGCTCACGCCGCTACGTTCGGGCGGCTCGCGCACGGGCGGCGCGGATTGGCCGCGGGTCGCGGCGACCAATCGGATGGCGCGCGCGCACGCGACCCGTGCGGCACCGTTCGCACGCGGCGCGGCGCGGAGTGGCGCGGTGCGCGTCGAAGCGGGAGCGTGTGTGTCGCGCGGCGCGAGCGCGTACTCTCGCCGCGGTTATACGTATGTGCGCATCTCCGCGCCGCCGTTGCCCGCCGCGTCGACGTCGGCGTTGCCCCGGTACGCCGCTTTGGAGCGTAGCAACGGCCGCGCGCCGCGGGACCCGGGTGTTGCGCCACGGGGCCGCGTGCTATCACCGTCTGCGATATTCGCGTGCGCGCGAGGAGCCAGCAACAGCTCGCCGCGGCCAGTGACAACATTTATTTTCGATACGATCGCGAAGGGACGGTGGAGGAGCGAGAGAACGAGAGAGAGAGAGAGAGAGAGAGACGGCGAGTAGGAGGGAGTGAGACGGAGGGAGCTCAGTCCCCCGACTGCTGCAACGCGAACTGCGGGCTGCCCGTGGATGCGCGACCGAGATAGCTAGTGTGAACAGGTAAAATGGACTAGGCAGAAGCTGTTTACTCGCGGGAGAAACGGCAATTTTTTGCTCGTTTATGGGATTATGCGTAACCGCGCCATAATTGCACGGGTCTTTTAACGGGCGAGAGAGAGAGAGTGAGCGAGTGAATAAATAAGTAAACGAGTGAGCGAATGAGAAGGACGGGAAAAAAGGAGAACGACGAGGAAGGAGCGATCGCGGACGCAAGAGGAGCAAGTGAGAGAGTGAGAGAGTGCGAGGAAGTAAAACGGAGCGAGAACGAACGCGGCAGCGGGGAGTAGCTTGCTTGGGGGAGGGGTCGGGGGGGGGGGGGGAGGGAGGCGCGGAAGTCTCCCCGTCAAAATGTCGCTGAAAACGCCAACGCGGATACAGTGATGTTGCCGCTCGCCTAACTCGGGGCACGTCGTCTCCCTTCGAGCCCTCGAGCCTCGCTCTCTCTCTCTTTCTCCCTTTCTCTTTCTCTCTCTCCCTCTTTCTACCTCCCCCTCCCTCTCCCTCTCTATCACCCGATCTCGTTCTCGGCGAGCCAGGCGGCTCTACGGTCTTGTAGCGAGGAGAAAGAGAAGATCGCGGGTGCATCGATTACTCGCGCGCACAGGTCACCCGGTTTGTTTCCCCACATTTGTTTCTCTACGCGCGTCGTCGTTCGCGTCTCGTCTTCGGTGGCGGGATACCTCTCCCCTCTCGCCCCCTCCCTCCTTCCCCCCTTCCACCCCGCCGACGCCGCCGCCGTCCCCCGTTTCCTCGGTTTCCCTTACAAGGGCGACAGGTTCCGGGGGAGAGAGACACCTCGATGGCGAGTGAGGCCTCGCGCTCCCGAAGTCGATATCACGCTCCAGGTACTGGCGACCGCGGAGAGGCCTCCCCAGCCTCCCTCGCGACGGTGGCGGCGACGCGCGCGCGGGCAGAGGGTATACCCTCCTGCATTTTCACGGTGAAATCGGCGCTCGCCGCGCTCGGCACCTAAGCCCGACTCCGATCTTTTGTTCGCGCCGCGGTCCGGTCTCCTTCCCTCCTTCCTTCATGCTGCACCCGCCTCCCCTTCCCCTCTCCCCTCGACACCCCGCGGCGCCGCGCGATTCTCTTCCCGCGACCGTTAAACGCTCGGCCCTCGCAGGGCCGATCCTCGGATCGTCCGCTCCGATCTGGCGATCGCGACGCGGGTCGACGGAGCCGCCGTCACCCCGACGGGTGAGCCCGATTTCGCCCTAGACGATCGCTTCTACTCTCGCGTCTACGTCCAAGTGGCCGCGCACGATCGCACGGAGAATCGGAGCATCGCCGCTCGAGCGCGATGCCGACGCGATCCGTGCGCGGGGGTCGGTGGGCGATCACCGACTCCAGCATCTTGTTTACGATTCGACGTAGCAGAGTGCTGTTTCCCGTTTCCCGTCTAGCGGCCGTCGAGTCTCCTTCCGAATTTCCAACGTCGATCGGATTCCGCCTCTCGAGGTTCCCGGGGTAATCCGCTCGCGTTCGCAACACGAGCAGGTGATATTCGCGGTGATCTTCTCCTCCCCCCCCCCCGAGACACCGCGTGATCGTCCCAAGTGTTTCGCAGCGGAGGCGAAGACGCCGCGGCAAAATGAATCTCGTGACGAAGCACGTTCCGCTCGCGTAAAGAATCGCCGCTCTGGACGGCTGTTCGGGATCCTCCGGAGCCTCGTCGCGGTGCTCCGCGCGCTCGTCCGGTCGCGTTCCTTCGTCAGGCGACCCTGTGCGAACTTGCGACCCCGGGCGCTCGCACAGTAGGTCAATTCTGTATCTTGGTAAAAATGCGAAAAGTGAGTAGCCCTGTCTCTTTCGAACTGTTCCCTCGGCAAGAGACGAAGTCGCGCACTTTTAGCACTTTCGCCGCGCTGCTAGATACCGAATTGACCCCCCAGATCCTCGAGCTCGCTCGGGGTTTGCTGTTTAAACAAGTCCCGCGGGAGGGAAACGGCTCGCGCAAAACTCCATTGTTCATCGTGGGAAAAAATAGAGCGCTTCGGTGACACGAATGCATTACGGAGACTTAAAACGATTAACCCGGGCGTCATTGATCTTTATCTTTGGAGCTCGTGAATTACAATGCACGGCAATAATGCGCCCGTAGTCTTCTTCGCCGAGCAGAGAAGCGCTGATAAATATCTACGTAATCGCAAATTATATTTGACTGTAATCTAGCCGTGGGTCTATCTAGGGATTCTGAAGATTTAATCCCTATCGTTAGCACAGTTTGATTATAAAGCGTTTACGTTACGCTGCGTTATGCAACCCCTTGAGACTTTTGAGATTGGAGTGTGACAATGTTGAATTCATTGCGCACGGCGTATCTGTTTATCGTGGATAAAAATAGTGCCCGTTTTACTTCAGGTTTTGGATAAACTCGCTCGTCGGAAAACAAGAAAGATGGTGTCGACACGCCAGTCGAGTAACATGGGGAGCAGCGGTGGCAGTGGACCAGTTGGCGAGGTGGAAGTAAACTCGTTGAAAAAGCACCATTCTGTAACAGCTGGCACGTCCAACAACGGGGCTGCCATCGAATCACGCAATCTGAATCTCCTGGATTTGCCTGTCGAGATCCTCGAGAAGATCCTCGGCTATCTAGACTTCAATAAGATAGCCCACATGCGGCTGGTGAGTGTCGGCGGGCATGCAAGCCGCTTAATTCGCTCCCCCAAAGTGAAACGTTATAGCAAGCGTTCCGTTCGCAGGTTTGCCATCAACTGGACCGCGTTAGTGGATCAATACTGAACTCCACGTTTCAGAAGCTACAGGCTCAAATGCTGAGTCGCTTTCAGGCTATCAAAGCGCAAATGCCCAGACGCGAGTCCGCGCGCCGGAATCACCCGTTAGCGTGCGAATCGGATATTATAGAGACTCTGCATATGCGGCTCACCCTGCTGCAAATGAGTTTTGGCAAGCACATTGAGCGGAAGCATTGCTGCTTCTTTCCCGGCGAGGTAAGTACGAGAGACATTCATAAAACTGTGTCCGCGATGCTAGAACTTGGCCCAAGTTCTAGTTTCAAGAAATGTGTAGCCAATCAACTTGCAGCTTTTTTCCGTAAAAGATGAAAATTGATTGGCTACACGTTTCTCGGAACTAGAACTTGGACACAGGCCTTTACGGGCGAACCCTGTGTGTTGTGTGAACAGACTTGAACTAAATAAGATTGAATAAATACAGAGGCTCACATATGGTTACTAAATCACTTGATAAATGAGGGGCTCAGCGCCGTAACAAGCCAGTCTGTGGCATAATTGTGGGCTCTACTACGTTTTCCAACCAAGAAAGCTGCGCGCCGATTATTTGTAGATCTTAAAACACAGCTTTTGTTGTGACGAGAAATCCACATACTTAAATCGGTTGACCGATTTAATTTTTTATGCTAATAAACACCGTCGTGAAAATGCTAAAGAGTTCATTGCGAGGTACAGCACTTCAGCCAGAGTTCGAACGTGGAGGTCACTTACAATATACATAGTAAAAATGCTAATGGTAAATGCTAAAATGCTAACTGTCCCCTTAGAAAGAGACAAAGCCGCTCGCTTTTAGCATTTTCGCTGTATGGTGATAGCGAATTCGATTGCTGGCACTAGTGTGCACCGAGTGTACATTAAATTTATAGTCAATTATATTTAACTTTGTCTTGAATACGTTCAAAGAGTATTTAGCTGAAAAATGATCCGTATGGATGTTATACAGATCATTTTACTGGCAAAAAATGTTTCGAGATATATTTAACAATAAGACGATCCCTAAATATAAGAATTGATTGTAAACAAGCCTTATAGCGTTTTTCACAGGGAAAACTGGTGCAGCACCAGGGCTGTGTTAGGTTGTCTATAAAAACTGCATTAGTGCAATAATAGTGCAGGTTCAGTGGAATACACACATTATATACACTGTCACATTACGATAACCTCATAATCTCGTATGCTTATAAACCAAATTTGTGACTTATAAACCAAAATTGTGACTTTTGCAATTAAAGTTTATATATTACAAAATGGAGACAGATAACGCATTGTTATTTCAAATAAATAATTAAGTTTTTTTCTTTTGATATTGGATGTATGGAAAAAATGATGTTAAATCACTAAAAGGTAAAAATATGTCTCTTGTGGAAATATTTCACTGAAAATATAATTAAATTTTACTAAAGTGTATTTGAAATTTTCTCTCAATTGATCCTACTTTATTATAATTTTATTATATGTAATAATATGCATTGATTTTATTGGTATTATCCATTTTTATAACTTTAGTGTCCCTACTATTTATCTATTGCATTGTTCTTGCGTTATACTTGCTACCGCGTAGAAAATATAATATAGCAGGGAAATGCAACTAGTTATTTTTTTGCGGGTCAAATGTAAAATTTGAGGTAATAGCGCAAGCCGTCGCAGCTACGTTTAGACGAATATATTTGATACGTATGAATATATTATAATAGAATTTATTTATTTTTCTTTTTTGCCTTTGTATTAACTAAAAAACACCACGTTGAGGTGAGGCAAAGTCATAATCCTTTTTTCTAAGGTTTTTTGTGGGTCAAGCTTGGACGTCGCGGATCGCTAGTTGTGTGTCTTTGTAATAGTTGTGTATCTCTATAATATAATATATATTAAAATTTGGTCAGTGATAGCGCTTCTTGAAAAATCTTGTTCTACGATCAATCAGCTCTTGCTTTCTTATGTAATTACATTTGCATTCATAAGAGAGAAATGGCAGGAAAAATCCTATTGTCGTTTTACAGATATTAGATGAAGTTTATCGCATTCTCCACTACATAAAAGTTACTCCGAAATTACAAAGACCTTACAAAGTCACAGATGAATTATTTGATCTGAGTACTATGGCTATGGAATATTTTAAGGAGCACATTGAACCAACATTACCAGAAATACCTTACTTCGGTGCCGACTTTCTGGATCTTGCAGGAACATTCTCCTGTAAGTGAGGCTAATTATTCAATACTTTCGTAATGTGATTTTATTGAAGGCAATTTGTTGTCGCAGCTTCTAGTAGCGTGAGTAAACCATTTATGTGCCTGGATTCCGCGCCCATATCCATCGGAAATGGAAAAACGGGCAATGCTGGCGAAGAGGAAGGGTCTTCGTCGCATTGTTCAGACGATCCTGCTCTCTTGGAATCCACTGTGTCGCCGCCACAGTCGAATATGGTCTTGCGAAAGCGGATTCGCAAGATCAAACAGGGCATGAAACGATACAACAGTCAGCTAACATTGATGCGCAGGGATTTGAAGAGTTGCAAGGCGAAAATTGCGGATCAACAGAAACAAATTGTGGAATACGCTACTCGATTGGATGATAACGACAAAAAGAATGAAGAGACTTCGCGAAAATTCAGCACACTCCTACAGGTACATCATCCAGTATTCAAGGGATTCGAAATGAGAATAAACATTGAATTTATAATATGTAAATTTTGCTTTACAGCTTAATCTTATAAATTGTAGATTTGACTTTTTTTCCTCTTAATTGACACAAAAACCTATATTCTTATCTTATAGATGCAATTTTTTTTAGGAATTGAACAAGTGTAAAACCGAATTACAATATTGGCGCTCCAAGTCACCGGCAATACCAGTGTGCGTAGGTTGTGGTCAGTCAATGCCAGTCCCTACAGAGGATTTACAAGCTTTAGCCAATCAGGGAGTGCTACCGGATGCGTTTGGCGAAGGGCACGACTTCATTCCGATCGCGGATGCCCACAGTCCCACCGAAGTGGTACAGCAATCTGTAGTTACGCAATCTCCGTCGACGCCGACGGTCGACATGGCACCCCCAAAGGCTCCTGTGCCTTCGATATCCCTCAAACGGAAACCTACCGCAGAGGAAACGTCGGGCGATGCCGCGAAAAAATCACGTCGCACTGCCAAGTCTCGTCAGGCTAAGCGCTCAAAGATATAAATTGATAACACTGATCATGGTACAAATATTCAACCAGTCTTTAATAGGTTTCCGAAAATAGGAGACTTTCTATGATGGTTTACGCGCGTTTCTTTATGTCAGCAAGCCGATATGATCTTAGAAGAGTACAAAATTCCTAACCGAACGTCCTGCATCTCGCGCAACGAATCTGGTTTGAAAAATTTTAGCCGTATCGATTGCCGCGATTGTCATCGCTAGTTGATTTTTCAATTACTTCATGGACTTATTGTCGCCGGAATACGACGCACTTCGATAAATATTCTAAAAAAGCCTAGCTGATCATTCGCTTTGCTCGTAAAGCAACGTCTAATTATACTTTCTCAAATTCTTATTAGAATTTATTCGTTTTTTTAATTGTCATTGCCGCGATACATTTTAATATGACATAAGATTAAAATCATGTCTGTCATGTTTGTCTTTGTCATGCATTTAACAGCGGTATCGTACGAAAGAACGTACTATAAGTAACGTAGCGACGAGCACTTCCATTTTGCTCTTTGATCAAAAATTTGCAATGACTCTTATCTTATTTCTAAAGTAATATCCATGCTAGAATGGATTGATAGGATATCGCGTCTTCAACATGTTGATCGAGTAGAACAATACGGGAATAGAGAAAACATTGAAATTTCATAAAGCAAAATTTACGCAAATCGAATTGGTGCAAACCAAGTAATTTGTAGAAAATTGTAAATTATAGTTTGAGTATGTTTTTGGATCACCTTTTTCACAACTTGAATTGATCTGAACCAAATAATTTTCATAAAGCTGTAAATTTATATGAACATTTGGATCGCATACTCTATAACTTAATATTGCTTGTAGTAACTCACATACAAAAGATTTTGAGATGGTTTTAGTAAATTTTAAAATTTATCTCGCAATATCGATTGAAAGATATCTGGGAAAATTGATTGCTGATAGTTTATCCAGATACTACAAATACAGCCAATAACCATAGCTATTAATGCGTTTTGATCAGTTGATTATACTTGCTCGTGTTAAAAATTGTCGTCCAGCTTTTATATTCAATGTTTACATGCTTAGAAATAAATTCGTGTGGCTGGATAAAATCAAAAATTTATGATAAAAGTATCATCTCAGTATTAAGACGCGAAACAACCAGTAAAGAATTTACATCTGAGTACTAAAGAGCAAAATGTTGATGTATACCTGAAGAGGTGTTAGTTTATTTTTATGAATGCGCCATTTTACCAAAACAATTACGAAATGGCGTACACATTGCAATATTATTAGAGCTAGATTGATTATTTATAGAAATTATTATATTTAGATAAAAAATTGGGTATCATGCCATTTTTGTATATTATATGGAAAAGAATGAAGTTTTGTTGTGAATAAAAATTGGCAAAAATTTGTATTTATGAGAACTTGTTCCAAATTTCAAATGGTGGACGTTCACGTTTATAAATTATAACGATCAAGGATATTTGCAATCGGCTCCGGAAGTCTGATGATTTACCTTGCGCGATAAACAATTATTGGTAGGAGCAATTAATGTCTTATTTGCACCGATTACCCAATTAATCTCAAAGCAGCGTAGTTAGATATTGTGAGTTATTCATGATGATACTTATTAAAAAAAAAAGGAAAATACAGATAAATATATAAGTGAATGATACTTTATATATTACAAATCTATATATACATATGTCTTTATATACAATATATATATGTATGTATATGAACGTACGTATATATATATGTATGTATATATATTTGAGTGGTACTTGCCAGAGGCGCGTATACCACACGCAGAACATTTTAGTTTAAACTTTAATGGAACAATAAGATATATAACGGTTAATTAATTAATTGTTCAATTAATTAATTAACGATAAAATAATTGAAATATATATGAAAAAATATATAAATATATATATATATAATTTTTTATCGATGTCAAAAGGAAATTAGAGAAAAAGAAAAGCAGAGATAACTTAGGGTGTGAATATGATGGGAGAACGTTGCGGTGCGCATACGTGTGAGGTGAATGTGTGATATGTATGAAAATAATATACTAAATTTGAACTTTGACGAGAATTTACGATGTGATGCTTTATCGATTTAACCGCAGGAAAGTGACCTTTATCCGAAAAAAAGAAGAAAAATATGAAATACACGTGGGGCGTTTCTGGCTGCGAACGAGCATGTAAAACTTCACTTAATGTTACGTTGAATAGCGCATTGCGGGGGCGGGCATAGCCAAATCGTACGTGTCGGAAATTTCGAAATGCTTGTACGTTCACTTGCAGAAAACGTCGCGCGCGACCAGTGGCGGCGTTGTATCACGGACATCCGTAAGACGAGACTATCCGGAAATTCGCATTGGGACTCTATTTCGTCATTCGGGCCCCTAAAAACGGACATGTAGATCCAGGATCGATGTCTACAACGGCGAATTGCATCAGTGTCAGTCGATGCTAATTCTGGTTGGCTGGCGATCAAACTTGCTCTCTCTGTAATTGATCGACACACGCCCCTTTCTTTTGCTTATTTTATTCTACACGTGACCGCAACGCCTCATTTGCAGCTTCGCGATAAAGGGACCCGAGCGAGTTCGTTGTTAACGAATACGCGCTGCGATCAGTCGGTCGATGAGTTAATCCTCCTCTTCGTTTTTGCACTTCTCCTTTTAACACAAACAATAAGAGGAAGTTGCCTATCCTATTAATAGTCAACGCGGGTCAAAAATGAAATTGAAAGGGCGACACTAACGTATCACAGCCCTGTTATTGTTATTATTTATTCACTACTAGCTTTAGCTAATTTAAATATCCTCTTTCATCATGAATATGAAAATGTGTGTGAATAAAGGGAACAGAAAATCGCCAACTAGCCTGAGTTGGCCGACTGGGACAGTCTCTCGGTTGCAATTCAGTCTAAACATACCTCACATATACACGCGTATTATATGTAACATAACATATAATATAACACCTTCGACGGCGTCTTCTACACGACATCGTCTCAAACAGTTCACGCTCCTCTCTCTCTTTCTCGGCTTTCCGACATAATCCGTCCCCGAACGATACAAATGTAGAACCGTGTACTACGCATATTATGGATCTAAGTTAGACGTACGATCGAGTATAACAGTGAATATGCGAATTAGGAGTAGAATAATTTTTCTAGACGGTAGAGAAGTGCTGTGCGCGCGGGGGAGGGGAAGGGAAACGAAAGGGAGGAAAGATGGATATATATACACATATATATATCTCTCTCCTGGAATTACTTGCTCCACCCCGAAGCCTTGCTATCTGCAAGCGTATTAATGCAAGCAACGGTCCTTGCCTCAGGTACACAATAGACAAATACCCGATGATACCGAAATCGTGTACACTTCACGGAGACAAAAGCGACGATGTAGGAACACAATTTGCCAGTGTTACGGCGAGGTGCGCGGTAACGCCGAGGAATAACGGATATATTATCTTAAATGGTTTTACGTGTATTAAAGCGATTGTAAATATATATATTAGATACACCTTATAATAAACATAATTTAACATATCTAACGTTTCAACTTCAGTCTATCACTACTTGAATAGCTAAAAGCTTCATTTCTAACTTAATTATTTGACAGTGGTTTTATTGTATCGTTGAACAGTTTTAGTATGTAATAATTGTGAGTTTTACTGAATTTTATTTGCCGCTGGCAATGAGATGAAAAGAGATTTTGTATCGCGTGATCTGATACGAGCATTTACCTTTTTTTCTATTTATATCGATGCATTGTAGATTCTCTAAAATTTTCAATTATCGTTAGTTTAATTGTGATTTGATTTTCCTTTAACGCAACAGGTAATATTTATATTTATTATTATTAATAATTGAGATTATTAATCATCTTTTATTAATGTCATTAATTCTGTCGTATTATCTCTTACTGTATTAATACTTTTAATGAATAATCAGAATTAATTATGAAGTAATTTCAAAACTATACTACATATATTTTATAAAACAATATATCTAATATATATTTTACATGGTTAATATATTAAGCAATAGTGGAAAAAATTAAAAAATTAAAGTCTTTGAGTATAGAAAGATCGAATGTTCCTTTCAGTTACACTTTCTTATTAGTTGTTTTATTTGTTTTACTGTTACTAATATCTATAGAATTTAAGTAAATCAAACGATCGTTACAATTAGGCCCGGTTTTACCAAACGTCGCTTAACTTTAATGTTAGTTTAATTCATATTTGTCTCTTTCTAAAGTAACAGTTGGAAAAAGACAAAGAACGAATTAAACCAAGCTTAAAGTTAAACAACGTTTGTGAAACCGGACCTTAGAGAGAAATAAAACAAATTAAGAGAGATTAAAATCACTCTGGATCGACGGAAATGGACGTAAAATTTCCCTCTTAATTTTACTAATGGGATCCATTAACAACTTTCCTAATACTATCGAAGCGTTTATCGCTTTTAATGCAAAATAAGTTCGCTTCAACTCTGAAAGGAAACAAAGAAAAACACGGAGACGCAAGTAGTGTTTCGTTCCTACTTTAATCTCGGCTGAACTTTTCATTAATTTTTAGTGCTAAGAATTCGAAAAAGATAAAAATAGAGTTAAATCGAAATTAAAGCTGATCTGCATTGCGAAACGCGAGCGTAAGACGACCGGACACATTTTCCACGCAGACATTCCGCGTGCGTTTTGCGTATTTCTTTCCTCTCTAGCGCCGTTTTTCTCTCTATCGCATATTCAATATTGGGTGCATTCAGAAGCACGACCGTTCACAGACATGCACCAAGTGGAAATTTTATCGGCAGAGTCAGAAGATGCATAGCAAAATATAGTTCCAAAAATAAAAATGGGCGTAAAGGCGCGCGAAACAATTATCTCTTGAAACGGTATCAAGTAAAACGCCGGCGTGGCCGCTCTCAGATTTCTCTCTGGTTGAAATGATCGAGTCCACGTGAATTTTTTCACGTAGAAAATTACATGATGGCTACCCTAGTTCGAGAAATGTGTAGCCAATTAACTTGCAGCTATTCCATAAAAGCGGCCTCAATCATGAATTTTTTTCCCCTAGCGTAAACTCGTGAAAAATTTCATTGATAAATATTAAACATGTAAATGAAATTTTCTCACTTTTCACGAGTTCACGCTAGAGAAAAAAAGATTCACGGAGAGAAGCCTGAAGTACAGATTAAAAAACGTGAACGTGAACTACGTAAAACCAATATCCACGTTAAATTTGAACTAAGCGGATAACGCAGGTGTGCAGGTTTTGGTTGTGTTCCGTGCTATGTGCATTAAATTCGATAAAAATAGTTACTATAATACAATATAATATTATTAATATTAATCGACCAACGAGTTATTACATATGAAATATTCGGTATGCATACAATCCCTGGTGAAAATAGAATTTGGAGCGTAAATCGAACGTAAGGGGAGACTGACACAAGCGTAAACGAAATGTGTAGGAGGCGTAATTTGGAACAGCGAAGCGTAAAAGAAGCGTTCGAAGTTTCTTTTACGCTTCGTTGTTCCAAATTACGCTTCCTACACATTTCGTTTACGCTTCTGTCACTCTCCCCTTACGTTCGATTTACGCTCCAATTTTTATTTTCTTTCCGTTACTTTAAGAAAAAACTTTTCACTCACCGACACGATGCGCAGCGGCGGAGTTGTATCTGCGTTGATTCTGCAATGGCGCCTGATGCCTCCTCCTCCTCCACTCAGATGTCCTCCTCTCAAGTGTCGTTATCTCAGTTGTCCTCCGACACACTCGCGAATTTAAGCCAACGGCACACTGTACTATTTTTCCTACTGGATTGCTCACGAGAGCCGATCAGGATGCAGAGTTTTCGATCAGGTGACTCAAAGCTGAATCCTGATTGGCTCTCGTAGAGAATCTAGTAGGAAAAGTAGTATCGTGTGCCGTTGGCTTAAAGGCCTGTATCCACGATGCTAGAACTTGGTCCGAGTTCTAGCTTCGAGAAACGTGTAGCCAGTCAGCTTGCAGCTTTTATGAAATAGCTGCAAGTTGATTGGCTACACATTTCTCGAAACTAGAACTCGGACCAAGTTCCAGCATCGTGGACACAGGCCTTTACACTTCCGTTTGTAAAGTCACACTTGTCACTGTCACTGTATCCGAATGCCACTTCACTCGCGAATTTACACTTCCGTTTGTAAAGTCACTTGCCACTGTCACTGTATCCGAATGCCACTTCTTCAGTTTTCACCGTGTCCGATTGCCACTACGAGCTGTTCGATCGCATCGAGCATCGACGGCAAATCGCGGGAATTCAGCGCTCGCTCGATGATATCAATCACTGATTACTCGCAGAGAGCGATCGCGGTTTCTTCGCGCACTTGTCGCGAACGCGCATCAAGGAAGAACAATACGATACGCGAAGCGGCGCGGGCGTAACCGATCGGTTCGACTGTCGCCGCGCGAATGATCCTACGTACCGTACGGCGACGTAAACACCGTAAAAACCGAGCGCGGATTTCAATAGATTGTTTTTCGACCGAGGTGTTCACGGAGCTACGTCATTTCTTGGAATCCGCGCTCGGTGTTTTGTTTATTACGATGTTTACGGCGCCGTACGGTACGTAGGAACATTCCAGAACATTCGCGCGGCGACAGTCGAGCTGATCGGTTACGCCCGCGCCGCTTCGCACGTCGTATTATTCTCTCTTGATGCGCGTTCGCGACAAGTGCGCGAAGAAACCGCGATCGCTCTCTGCGAGTAATCAGTGATTGTTATCATCGAGCGAGCGCTGAATTCCCGCGACTTGCCATCGATGCTCGACGTAATCGAACAGTTCGTAGTGGCAATCGGACATGGTGAAAACTGAAGAAGTGGCATTTGGATACAGTGACAGTGGCAACCCGGATAACAATTCTTGCGCGCAAATTTTGCTTGTCTTATGCATGCAAATTTGTATGAGATCTGCCTGAGTTTTGTCCGTAAGATATATGTAAGTGTAAATTCGCGAGTGAGGTTACGACAAATCAATAACACTCTCGTGTTACCGACATTTCGTGCACGCAGCCATGGAAACGCAACCGAAATCGGGCACTGGATTACCCGCTCGAGAAATGGGCGTAGCACGGACACGCACCAAGCGGAGACTTTATCGGCAGTGCTGGAAAATGGGTGTAGCGAAATAGTTCGAGAAATGAAGACGGGCGTGAGGCGCTGGAGTCAGCCGCGCGCGAAAACGGTATATCAAGTAAAACGCCGGCGCGTGGCCGCTCTCAGGTTGGAGTAAGGTAAGTGTACTTTTTCTCGTTCTAGCTTACTGCACTAGTTTACCAGTGCAGCGATAGAAAACGAGCCCGAGTGAAACGCCGGCGTGGCCGCTCTCAGGTTTCTCTCCGCACCCATTGAATCCACTCGTTCCAACGCATTGAACTATAACCATACTGGAAGGAGCACTCCATTGTTGTCGTGCGGTCAGAGTTGTGATCGTGCTATTCTTGTCTAACTAACTACAGCGATCCTCGCTGTAGTTAGTTAGACAAGAATAGCACGATCGCCACTCAACTATCTCTCTCTGACCGCTCGATCCTATGGAGGGGGTAGGCAGTGCTCCTTCCAGTCAATGTTCCAACGTGAGCGCAGGAGGCGCAACGTAGCGCGGCCGAAAGGCACTAGCGACAATTCCCCAGTGTTTCCATTTACATTCCCGTCAAAGATGGTAGAGACCACGCGAAGGTATCGTTACGGGACAAACACGCCGAGTTCGTTCGCGGTGTCGTGATCGAGTGTGCGACCGGATAATCTGCCGCGGTCCGATGTGCCTTGGCCCCTCGGAATTTTTCTCCCCGCGCGTTTAAACGCGACGTAATCTCGAGTCGATCCATCCATGTTCGTCCCTCGGTCGTAACAGTTTGATGCGCGCGTCACGAGTCCCCGACCCTTCAGCGAGAGATAATCGCGCGAGACCAGTCATGGCAGAATCGGTGCACAAGGATGGATACGAAAACCGTGAGTAAACAGAAAGGGGGGGAAAATGGAAAGAAAAACAAAAGCTCCCCTTGCCCCCCCCCCCCGCCCCCCATCCGTTGTCCATCGTGTGGTCCTCCGAACGCATTCGTGTTCCTGTTTACCTGCCCTGTCCTGCACCTCCTGCACTCGGGAACGACGCGTTGCGTTTCGGTGCGGCGGGCGGAAAACGCAACTCGGGGGGGGGGGGTAAGGATTCGAGCCGACGTAGGCTCGATATCGCGTTCCTGCACCCTGCACCCTCCGCTCTCGACGCGATATGTTGCATAATCGTTTCGAACGCCGCCTTGTTCCGCGACGCGGGCGGGAAGGGAGGCGTCCCCCACCGCCGAGGTGTTTTCGTGCGCAGACTCGTCTGCGCAGCCGACCACGTGATTGCTCTGGCAGCTTTGTGTTTACATGCTGTCCGTCCGCTGACGAGGCCTCGCGTTGTCGCGCGGAGTTTGAGCACACGATACCGTTTTCCCCTACCGGATTGCTTACTGGAGCCAACGAGGATACAGAATTTTGGGCCAGGTGACTTAAGCCAAGTCCCGATTGGCTCACGTGAGTAGTACAGTAGGAAAAAATGGTATCGTCGGCTTTGGTTATCGTCACCTCCTCTGACGCTCCGGTTTACTTTGAGCCGCATTTTACGTTTAGATAGAGTTTCTCGCTTCAAAAGGAGACGAGAGGGTGTCGACGAAACGATAATGGAAAGATAATTTTGCAATTGCGAGGGAGAAGCTTTGAAATTACGGAAATACACGTCTGATATTGTATAAAGATACAATCAAGTCGCTCGAACTCAAATGCGTTGTGTACATTTGTTGTTTCTCGAAAGCAGCTGTCTTGACGATGCGTGTCCGCAGTGGTAACGTAGGGTCGGACAGTGATATGAAGCTCGAGCCGTCCAGTCCTACGGAGAAGTACACCTTTTCCCGTTGTAGTAGCACAGGATCAGTTAACACGCCGTCTTCTTCGGCCCATAATACAGGTAAGCGAGCGTTTTTTCTGTCGACAGACACTCGCTCTATAATACGAATCGGATGATCAATGACCGACACGATATTCAGAGGACGAAGATAGCGACAACAAAAATTCCACCATGAGCAGCTACAAGGAGCGTAGGAGAGAGGCTCACACACAGGCCGAGCAGAAGAGGCGGGACGCTATCAAGAGGGGCTACGAGTCCCTTCAGGATTTAGTACCGGCCTGTCAGCACACGGACTCCTCGGGCTATAAGATTTCCAAGGCCTCGGTGCTTCAAAAATCCATCGATTACATACAGTTTCTGTTGCAACAGAAGAAGAAGCAGGAGGACGAGCGTAACGCGCTGAGAAAGGAAGTCGTCGCGTTGCGCATTATGCAGGCAAATTACGAGCAGATTGTCAAGGCGCATCAGACTCAGCCGGGACACACGGAGATGCGCGTCTCGGACGAGATGAAGTTTCAAGTGGTGAGGAGAATAGTTTTTCTTCCTTTCGAAATTACCGCAATTGTCACCTACATGATTTGTATCGCGTTGCAGTTCCAGGCGATAATGAATCGGCTTTTCGAAACGTTTAACATTTCCGTGGCCAACTTCACGGAACTGTCTGGTTGCGTGTTTAGTTGGTTGGAAGAACATTGTAAACCTCAGGTAAATAACTCCATATCTTTGATACGTTTCCCGTTCTATTTCCTGAAATGTCTGAAAGCTGACAAATGGCGTTGTTATTAATTTTCTAGACTCTACGCCAAGTAGTGCTCTCGGTACTACGAGACCTCACGGTCCCTAACAATCAAATCAGCTAGTCAAGTGCATCTTTGACGAAGGTACTCGTCGCACAATGTCCCTCAGAAGAGTTGGTTAGATCCTTATATCTATAAAGGAAATTGACATGACGTACGTATATAATATCTAGATATAAAATCAAGTTTATAAAACCAAGAGTATGTATCTCTTTGTTTTTGTTTTTTTTTTGTTTGGCTGACGGATATAACAGATTTTCGACAGTCCGAAAGAAATTCGGATTAAAATGAGAAATATTGATGATTTTCTCATTGCATTTTCATTGGTGCAATGTTTAATGGGTTTAGTTAATATTTACAATTTTGAGAAAATCTAGGTATTATTTATATATATTTTTTTTAAGTTTTGCGTGAATTATCTTTAAACGTGGATATCCTGCGATTTCTGGATGATTAGCATATGATTGTTATGGTTTCTGAAGAGACAATTTCTGAGATAGTGTCTTCTATTAGTTGAAATCTTTAAACGTTTAACGTATGATAAGTTACCAGAAGAGATGTGCATTACATGCAGGTTACAATGCATGAAAGATATATGAATAGAAGTTTATTTTATATACATCGGATACATACGATATAATATCAACAACTGATGTCGAATATTTTTACCAAATCTTTGATCGCATACACTTTGCGATAAACGAATGGCATATAGTGTATATATGTATATGTATGTACATCTGATTATGTATATAACAGATTTATAACATATATTTACAATGAATATGTACACGACCGAGCTTCTGTACGTATATTGTTAGTTTTTCTTCTCCCCTATGCTGTGTGCTTGATATCCCTAATGTGTGCCAGAAGCATACAAAAGTATTCTTTCCCAATAATCCCTTTCAATAATCGTTAGTTGTATCGGTTTATTACATTTTGCTTCGCACTTTATTTTTAGGCTTGTAACGTAAAAGGCCGCCTTCTTTAAATATTTTCGCGCCATTTAAATTTTCTCAGTTTCCGTGGGCATACTTTCCCCTTGCGTGATATCGTTCAACGGTATCGTGTCTAATCTGGCTCTGTTCGGATTATCGAGCTCTCGCCGGGGGTTCTGTTGACGTCGTCTTTTGGATCTGCGTCCTGGCGGGCAACATAAATCTCGAAGGAAGTAAGCGTAACAGGCCAGCAGCGCGGTCACTGTCATCACGCCGCCGATTATCAAGACGACGCTGAGGAAGAAGTCAAGTTTGTCGTTCATCTCACCTCGCGAATTTGACACCGTTGAATGCTGCAACAGAAATTCGTTGAACGCGTAAATTGTAAAAAAAACATTGAGTTTCTCTCTCGACCCGTAATTCATAGCTTGAAACGTTGGGATTTTGACGCTATCCAAGAGGCGACTTTCAATGTGGAATATTGAAAAAAAAATTTTTTTCCATAGTGGGCTTACCCATCAAACAGCACCAAAAACAGATTTTTCACTTTTTCCAAAAGAATAAAGAATTATTTTCATGCACCCAGCGAAGTTACGGCTAAGGCAATTTGAGTGGCATCGTCTTTTTCTCTATTTCATTAATTTGATTTGAATTGTTTGAAATTTGAAATAACTGTTCCCGAATAAAAAGAGTCTGCGCACACCTGTGCCAATAGTTGCTGCATAAAAATTGAAAGCTTTTAGAAATTGTGGGACGTATCAAAGAATCCTCATTTATTAGAAACAAACTGCATATGAATAATTCAGCCTCTGTGCACCAAACTGTCAGTTCGATCATACATGAGGATCTTTTTATGTCTTTCGGTCGTCGCCGAAGCGAACATAACCGAGAGATAGGATGGCTGGCGGCGAAAATCGAGCAAGAAGGGAAAAAGTAATTCCACACGCTGTCGTAGTCATCGCTACAGACTTTATCTCTTTTCACATTCGACGTGATTTCTTTCCTCTTTGTTTTTTATTTCTTTTTTCCCAATGCGTACGAGATACTTTCGCTCGATCAAGCGATTATCGGTGTATCTACTCGAGTTTTTATACCCAACCCGGATGTATTTTCTTCGCTAGCATCGAATAAAAAAGTCTGCGCTCACCTGTGCCTATAGTTACTGCATAAAAATTGAAAGCTTTTTAAAAGTGTGGGATGTATTAGAGAATCCTCATTTATTAGAAACAAACTATACATCTTATGTCCCCCTCGAGACCCAACAACTTTTGCTCAAGTCATTTTTTGCTAGCCCTGTTCCCCGAAGAGATATTTGCGTGCGTCGATTAAAATTACTCACCCTGTATGAATAATAATTCAGCCTCTGCGCACCGAACTGTCAGTTCGATCATACGAGGATCTTTAGAACGGAATTTCAAGCCGGATCCATGTCTAAAGGACGTAAGGACTATTTTAGAAAAGAAATGCATTTTATTTTGGACGAGAAAAAACGCGGTGATTCTGAACATTGTGCATAATGCATATGTATATTGAGACGCACATGGAGCCACGAAATTCGAATAAACGCGATGGATATCGGGATACAAGAGGCTACACGCATCGTCCATACCTATTTCTACTTCGTATAAATATTAAGGCCATTCTACAATTGCGTAAACGTGGTTGTCGGAAGTAGCTCTAATAGCGCTGGTCTACAGTACGTGGAGTAAGCGTGGAGTAAGGAGTAAGGGAGAGCCTTAACTTCTAGCTTTTGGTGTAAGGAAGCTGAAACATGGGCATAATTTTTGAAATATTTGTAACACTGATTGATGGCATTTTGATTCACCGAGAGTAAGCCTAAGAGCTGAAGTAGGAGTAAGAAATAAAATGGCTTTATTTCCTTACTCCTACTCCTTACTCCACGCTTACTCCACGTATTGTAGACCAGCGCTTAGATGTCAGCTGTACCTTCAGCCTCGTCTCCGGGGAATTTTATGATGAAGGTGTCGGACGCTGGCATCTGGGGTCAAAGCTTTGCGCGTAAAGGGACGTGAAAATGAACGTTTTCCGCTACGCGAACTATGCGCGAAATTTATAAATTGCAAGAGCAGACGTTTCTTAATGTAGCGCGAAAATGTCTGGAATTGAGGCAGTTCTAAGAGCGACACACATTAATATCGCCATTCTTCAGAAAATTGTTTACATGAAACACTATATTTCACGTAAAATGAGGAGTATGTAAAAATATGTATCGCATTTCTCTCTCTCTCTCTCTCTCTCTCTCTCTCTCTCTCCTCTCTCTCCTCTCTTTCTATTATATTCTGAAATCCTCTTTGCGGACGACATCACGTTTATGAGAATTTCCGACCCGTCATTCCCTTACATGAATCTTGCTTCACAGGACTGCTGAATCTACTCGTAAATATCGGCTTTTGGAAGCAGTAAAAGCATCCTCAAATGGCACGCTTGCCTTCGGAGTTGAGAAGCGCTATATACTTTCATATAATTATAATTTATATAGGGGCTATTCATTTTACATCAATTAAAGATAATGCTTTACACTGCAAAAATGTTGTTGTGATATATGGAAATGTATGTCTAAAACGCATATAAAAAAAAACGATACGAATATAGATAATCTTCGTGATAAATCACCATAATGCATAAATATACACATAGAGAAAGTTGGCGAGATGAAATTTGTGAAAAGACGTAGGTTTCACTTTGACAAAAATGTCTATTCTATAGTTTAATTTTATAAGACTGTTTATTATAGTTGAAATTACTTTTATTTTACGTTCTTCTTTGTATATTTCCAGGCGTGAATCTTAAAAAAATGTTTAATTTGTCATTCCCTATCAAACCTGAAGCGTATTCAAAACATCCTGTGTTATAGTACACTGGAGGTAAGCATACGTTAAATGCCAAATAAAAATGTCTGTTAAGTAACTTTTTTTAATTATTTATTTTTTAAGTGTCTTATTTTTCTTTTGTTTTTTTCATGTTATTTCTGTGACTGCTTCGGGTACTCGTATCGCTATTCCATTTAATACGCTCATCTATTACAAAGATTAATAACGCGACGGAAAATTATTGCGCCGGCCACGATATTCCATCCCGTAATAGCTTCTCTTAATATACTTATATCGGAGAATATAACTAATGAAGGAGCTACTTTCGCATGCTTTCAAGTAAAACGAGGTATGCTTGAGATAAACATGAACAGCTCTTGGCATAATTTTTATCTCCGAAGCGGTTGTAGTACATAACCGAATGTAATGTATAGTAACGACACATACCTGCCCCCCACATACAAATGGAGAGAAATTTCTTTTAGAATTTAGCCTGAAAATTATGTAATCGTGGGAAAACACGGCATTTCGATAAATTTTATGAGTTTTTTTTTTAAATTTTACCATACATTTTACTAGTACACAGTTAGAAAATTTGTGTTTTCTTGTTAAAGAAAATGTCGGTTAACATTTTTGTGTTAAATGTTTAACACATTCATGTGTTAATTTAACATATTGCTCTTGTGTTAATTGACCTCAAATGTAAAATTATTAAAATACTTGAAAAGAAATGTTAAAACAACACAATGTGTACTTTTTTAAATCTTACACAATACATATGTTCTATATATTTAGTAACAAGATTTATCTCTTAAAATTTACAGAATAAAATGTTGATTTGATTCTATATAACATAAGCGAAAGTGATTTCAAACCGTCATTTGACTTATTACATCTGCAAAATGTAAAAATTCATTTTGTCATTAAAAATATGTTAATTTTACACAAAATTTATTTCAAATTATTTTAAGATTTGTGTTTATTTTGTGTTAAAATATTAACAGAGTATTAGTGTGATTATTTAACATATCCATATTATGTTAAATTAACACAAAAATTTGTGTGGACCGTTTGGGACATGTGATATCTGTTAAATTTAACACAAATTTTTCAACTGTGTAATTATACTTATTGTTAGTATACATTTTAATAGTAAATGTATATTTTTGAAATTTTATTAGTATTTTATTTTAATTATTAGCATTTCGTAAAATTTTTGTAAATGTATGATAAAATTTTCGTAAAATGTATGATAAAATTTTGAAAAACTCATAAAATTGTTCGAAATGCCATGTTGTCCCACGATTACATAATTTTCAGGATAAATTTTAAAAGAAAACTCTCTCCGTGTGTGTGTATGGGGGGATGGGGGAGGGTATGTGTCGTAACTCTCATAAAGTCCTTTAAACTGCCGTGTTGTCCCACGATTACACGATTTTCAAAGTAAATTTTAAGAGAGAATTCTCTCCGTGCGCACACACACGCACACACACACATAAAATTAATATATACATATATTATTTATATATGAAATGAAGCGATCAAATATGAGTTTCTCCTCACCTGCGTTATATTGAAGGGTTCTTGGTTCATCTTCATCTCCCTTTAGCACTTTTCGTAAATGCAGAGCGCCCAATTTTCGTGCGCATCATCGAGCCTCGGCTCGCTCTCGTTCACCTCAGACTGGGCAAATTGAATGCCATTGGACTTCCGTTCTTCGACAATACAAAGCATCTTCCCGTCGCGCTGCGATCCCACATATCGTACGTAGCAGTCCGTTCTATTTTACTTTCAATACAAACGACGCTTTCAGGAATCGATTCGACGTTGGATCATCCGCATTCAGTTGTCAAGGTAGTCCATCAGATTCACAATACTGGTAAACCGATCGGAGGAAGAACTTCGAGTCCCGTGCGCCATTCCAATAATCATTCTCACAATTATGTCATAGTTTTCGTAATATCACTTAGCTCCCATCAAACGCGATGAATCAATATAATTCCCTCTTCCAGCTCACAATCAACGTATCTTTTTGCGTTCGTATGGTGGATCGATGCGTACAAGTTACAAAGTAACGCTTTCAAAGTAAATCGATACGTTGTACTGAAAACCAGGTTCGACAAATTCCTCTGTTGTTGGGGTCGCGCGATAGATCGCTGCAGCGTTGACGATACAAAAAGGCCGCGTTAATTATTAATTAATACCAGAAACAGAGACGTCTCTATTACAACGTTGTTTACAGCGCGAGTGTCGCGTGCAAACTGTGACAGTCCATTGTAATGCGCATCCTCGCCAACTCCTGCCGCTCTCCTCCCACTCGCATCCCTTCTCGTCCCGCTCATCCCTTTACACTGTGCAATAATCCTTGACAAATAACTCTCGGTCTCGATATACGAATACATTCTTTTTTCTCTGGCTTTAAACCGCGTTAGATATAAATGCTGATTGTTCTCGCCATCAAAAGATATATGTTAAAAATATGCATTTTCCCATTTTTTTCACCGTCGTAATTTTTGCCTCTACTTTTTATGCCTTTTGAAATTTAAATCCCTGTAGCGTCTGCAATCTTCTGTATGCATTAAAAGTTATTGAGAATTGTTATTCTCTCTTTTACATATTTCTTTAACATTCTTATCAGATTAGTACGCATTTAAATTTAATTAAATATATTACAAGAACTCCTTAAATGAGGTAATTTGCACTGAAGAATTAATGTAAAGAAATTCAATGGTCGCCTTTCGGAGATAATTTACAAAATTAGAAAAATAGTTTTTTTCAATTTCTATTTGAAGATAAACGGCGCGCGGAGAAGTAATCTATTTTTAAGAATTTTCTTCCCGAAATACATACGTGATAACAGTAAATTGTATAGCTTTCGTATTTCAGCCATGCCCTTGAAATACCTTGACTGTATTGACGTAAAATGGACGGTATAATCAATGTTCGTTATCGCGTGAAATTTCCTGTGCTGTCGAAGCTTTCGATTAATTGATTCTGTATTGAAATGGCCAAAAACATTCCGGTTGATTTCCTCGTTGCGATAACGTTGCTCGCCATATTCGGCGAACAACGGAAGCTTTGTTTTTTTTTCCCACGTTCAGTTCAGTGATATTTCCTGTCGCCGAATATGCCATTTTCTCTTCTCCTCTCGTCACAGTTTTCGACCGCACCGCGCTATATCCCGTCGGCGGAAATATGTCTCCTTTGGATAAAATCCTCCAATTAAGTATTTTCAGAGTATGAGAGCTAAGATTAGAATTTGGACTACGTAACTCAGGGTAAAATGACTCCCGATACGCAGATTATACTGGAAAATAGTTATAGGAGGCTGAAACGCCACCCAGGTCTTGGGAGCGAGTTCTTTAAGTCGACGAAGGGAAGAAAATTTATGCAGACGTTGTAAACTTGGGATGGTTTCTGAAGATCTTGCTGAATCATGGAAGGCTATCTTGGAATACAAGAAAGTACAAGGCACGAAGATTACAAGAAATCTACGAAACGTACAAGATTACATAATATTACGAGATTGCGGGCAACAAGTTGCACAAATTGCTGAACAATCGTGTCTATTAACGGTGGCTGTACAGGCGCACCATGCGCCAAACGCACACATAAATTGCTTTGTTAGTTGTTTCTGACGCATGAAACATGTAAATTGCGCTGCCACGCCCGCATTATCGCGCGCATATTATTAACGAAGGTGCCAGGACAGGCGGCGAATAATTCGCGAGAAGATTACACAAATAGGAAGGCAGATAAATTCCCGCGGATGGTTAATCGATTTTGAAGTGTAGCTTTGATCTGCCATTTCAATCCCACGCGACCTCCCTCCCTTCACTCGAATTGCCGAAGATGTCAATCCGTCCCTTTCGACGTCCTCTACCTGCCTGATCTCGGTTGTACGCGGTGGAAGTTGCATGCAAATTAGATTAACAATCGCTCACTATAGGAAATTGCTTTTGCACAGTCGTGTAAACTGTTAACGCCTTTGGATTACGTGTGCAAAACTCATCGCGTGTATTCCTTACAGTAATCCCTCTTGTTTCCTCTCAGTATAGTATTTCGAAGAATTTTTTTCAAAGAGAACGCGTTTCTCAAACGTCAAATACTTTATCTAAAAAGCAGTGGCATTTCCATGTGAACTGAAAGTACAATTTTTTTTATTAATTCATAAAATTCGCTGTAAAAAAATAAGCTACCTGTTCCTGCTGATAAAAAGTATTTCTTATTTCCTACAAAGTAAAAAAAACTATCAATCTTCATTACAGATATTGAGATCTTGTCACGCTTTCCGATACATACTGTGCGAAGAATTAAAAATATTAATATCGAGATGTAAATAGAAATATCTCTTTGAGACAACAATGAGATATCTTTTAAGCTGGACTAAGGGCCTCTTTCAGAATATTGCTGAATTCTATCAGTTCTTTTCTCAGCTTTTGCATATCCGTTTCCTCCGCTTTCTTTTCATGTTGACGGAGATAACGTTGCACCAATTGCGTCATGACTTCTGCAAATCGATGATCCTTTTTTTCTTCTAGATCCTCCTGCAACGCAATGTGGGTTAAATAAATAAATCCAAGCGAAGGTCTCCGCTTTTATTTATCGATTGTAATTTATATAAATAAACACTTTAAAATACAAATGAAATTCCGCGAACAGAAACGGAAGGATTACTCGGTGCAAAATGTACTTCTGCTTCGTGAAATTCAATAATTGATGTTTGATTGTACAACGTATTAAATCACAACATTGAGATTTGGTAGAATACCGACTATGTAACAACAATTTGTAAAGTCCCAGCGTGCCCGTTTGCCAGGTGGCGGTTTAATCAGTATTTTCATAAACTCGATCACCGGTCGCAGTCCCGTGAAAATCGAGAAAATGCAGAACGGAGGTGGAAGCGTTGTTGTAAGCATGACATCGACGTAAGCCTGAAAAAGTGGAGCGATAGATCGTATGCTATTGACGTTTATAAATGGTCCGCGATTTGTTATTTTAAACCTCACGTTCGCCGCTCTCATTTATCACCGTGGAATACGCGGCTTGAAAAATGTATTTAAAAACAGGAATGCACTTATAAACATTTACGAACCTCGGTACGACCAAAGATCCACTCCACGTTGACGTTATCGGTCACTTTGGTGAAGGTATTCGCCATACACGCGATTAACATATTCAAAACTATTACCACGGAAATAAATTGAAAGCCTGAAAAAAACATTGGAAACGGATTATTAAAACGGTTCATCGGTAAGATTTTGTTCAACGCCGATGGAATAGTAAATGTTACTTACTGGCGAAAGCAAAATAGCCGATAAATTCGGTGAAGCTGTGATGATTGATTAACGTATCCGACTCCCTTTCACCTGGAAGGTTTTCAATTATCACGTCGGCGCTTTCTACGGGACTCATGCAAAAAATAGCCCAGAAGAGAGTCTTTAGAGTGGACTTGAAGTCGACGAAGGAGCTTTCTTGCTCTGTCTTCAGTTTTGATTCGTCATCGGTCTGTACCATTCCATTATAATACTGATAAAGGTGGCACAATCCTAAAGAAACGTTTCAAGTTCATAAAACATTGGGCTGTAAGAAAAGATACGTGATATGAAATAAGTTGTACAAGAGCTTTTTTGAACCGTTTAAACTGTTTTTCATTGGCAGATATAAGTTTCTTCAACTTATTCTGGGACAATGTTGTACTAAAATTGTGCATATTTTGCCAAACAAATTACAGTTATTCCACTGATAAAAGAGACTTTTCACTATGTGCTATATATCTTACCGACTGTGAACGCCATAACGATGATACCGAATATTGTGACAAAATGGCCAACGTCTCTGATCATTTTAACTAAGGAAAGTTGCAAAGGCCCTAGATCATAGTCTAGCTGGCAGATAAACAATAATTTAAAAAAGGCCATGATAGTAGCGACACAAAATATCCCTTCTGCTATCAAAGTCGGATCATATCTGTGCCAGTATTTTCTTTCTAAATCGCGTTGGCCGTTTATTCTAACGTCTAATGCGGCAACTATCCAGAAGAGAAACGTCAGAATGAACAATATGATCATAACAAGCTCATACCTGCATTGTACGGGGAAATATTTATATAAAAATGACCATAAATTGTGCATTAGATTACAAAATGTTGCAACACAACGTTTTTCATATTTAACGTCAATAACGACTGATTAATTCTCATCTTACCAATTTGTACGTGTTCTGAAGCATCTAGCCGGGCCGTCCACAATGCAGAGTCGAACGAATGCAATTGCGTACGATATCACGTAAACAGCGAGAATCCATTCGTATCCTGAAGGGATGAAATTGACTTAAGAAACGATGCTTGACCAAGATCTAATCAGAGGTAATTAGGCGTGCACCAGTGTTGGGTGGTCCGCGGAGCTGTTCGACTTTGTCGCTACGCGATTGCAAAAACACGAATATGAGAAATATCAGGTAACTCGCCACGGAGGAGAGAAATTTGTTAATCGGGATTTCATAGAACTTGGCTCGTTCCGAGTTCGGTGCGAGCGACACGACCAATGTTATGATTGGTAGCATGCCGATCCGCGGAATTACCGTCAAGCACTTCAGCCACGTATTTCTGACCTTCCATTCGTGCCACGTGCCAATCCACTTGCTCTCGACAAGCTGGAAGAAAATCAAATATAACTTCTTGATGAAATTTGTTAATTTGCGAGAACTTTCGTCACGGCGTTTGCAAGTTACTTCTGTAAATTAATCCTGAATTAACTTCTATGAATTAATCCTGAAAAGCGAAATTAATTTTCAGCAAGTACTATAAAGCGCAGCTTTGATCTCTGCATGAATCCTGCACAATCCGCTTTGCGAAATTGTTAACATTAAGAGATTTATAGAAGGGACAAATCATTTCGATCCTTCCATTTTAGGTAAGGATTTCTTTCTTAATTAATTAGTACTGACTTTAGTTCTTTCCGCGAGAATATCACTTGTCATTAATACCTGTTGTACATTCGGATGAGCCACAAAAGTTTTCTGCTCATAATCCAACGCTAGTAAGAGTCGGGGATAATCGAAACTGGAGGTACGACCGAAACCAACGATTTGTCTTAATACGCATTCGACTTCTTCGGCGGTACGGGCGCATCCGATTAGGTCTTTGGCGAACTCGGACACCTCCTTTATCATAAAACTAAATGCATTATTAACGTTTCACAAGCAACAGATAATATCTTGACACGACGTAGATGTCGTTAATATATATTAATTATAGATAATTTATTGTCTTCCACAGATCTGTCTCTCCCTTATGTAATTAAATGAACAATTTCTGCTGATAATCACTAGTGTCCAATAAATAGGATTTAACTAACATGGGACAACGCTTTGTAATCGGGATAGAACTCTTTATCAAACGAAGCTTCTTTACTAAGTTCGGCCGATAAGTGAAAGGCTTTTAAGATCGGGTCTCCCTCGGTTTGACAAAGGTATACTGGATTTGAAATCGCTTTGTACATAAACAATCTCATTTTCTCCATGGTGACGATATCACCTCTTTCCCTCTCCGGTCTGCGATAGAAAGATAAGGATAAACGTAAGGATAGAACGAGTTATTTACTCGCGGCACTTTCGAGTCACTTGGTAGCCGCGACTTGGGCGAAAGGCATTCGTAAACCAAATTTGCGAATGTTCTGCCTCAAAACGGCCCTGCAACGGTACCGTACTTGCAAATCTCGTCGCAGTTGCAACTAGGCGGATGTGGTTTCTGCAGAATGTGATGTCGGAATCTGAGCATATCAATCATCTCGAAATGCCCACATTGTGCCGCCACCGCGAGCGGCGTTGTATCGTCCGGGAAATCTGGGCTGTGAGTGACACCGGCGTATTCGAAGCCCGGCGTCAATTCGTTCAGCTTATTCAATATCAGCACGGCGATCCTCACTTGATTATCTCTGATTGCATGCAGATGCGCGTCGCCCGGATCGATATCTGGATGGGACAACAGATACTCCACCATCGCCGTGTTTCTCTCGTTAACAGCAATATGCAGCGCACTAACGCCCTGGAAGTGGAGCATTCAATTAACATTATTATTATTAACAGACGAGGCAAGTTCGTTTATCCATAAATTAGAACGCGGAGCAAAAGGGAAGATGGCGCGAGACACAATGGACGAGCCTCGGAAACTAATTTTTCTTCCAGTTCCTATTGCCCGGCTACCCGTCATTGTCAATAATCGCTTGCGGAAATAGCCGATCGGCCTAAGAAAACGCGAAGCGGTACGTCATAATGGCCGAACGACCGAAATTCTGAACTTTCCCGGAATTCCTTCCCGCCGTGAGGCCGCGGTCTCTTCCTGCAGTGAAATCGACTTTTAGGAAGGCTATCGACTCCACTCTTTTTCTCGGTCATGTCCCTTTTTGTAGGAAGAATGGCTCGACGACGTTTCCCGCCCATCTGCGGTGCGTTTACAGAGGCGGGCCCCAACAATGGGCCAGCACCATTGTTGTCGCCGACACCAGTCACAATATTCACTGATATTTTGGCTTTTCGACAGGCTCCTGGGAGTATCCATGTACATCCACGCCTAACGACAATAACAGCCCGTGATATATGTTCGACAAAAAGCCCTTGTTAGCTATCCCTTGACAGTGGACAGCTGCCGCCCTTAGAGCGTGACTCGGCCAGATTTTACGCCCGGCTAAATATTTGTTTATCATTTGTTTTCGCGAAGGATGAATGGTAAGGGAAAAAAAACGCTGGAGCACGGAATAACCGAGGCGAAAATGTTGTCCTAATTTCAAAATAATCCTTTTGCGCGCGAAGTCCACGTTGATATCTTTTGTATACCAAATTTCTATTTTCATAGCGAAGGGATAGTTTAAAGGGACTCAAAAGTCCCGTCAGAGAATAACGGGTCAAATTGGCGTATCGCGAGGTTTGTTGGTGCATCGTGGATCGCGTCGTGGCACGCAAGCAGATTGTGGACGCGCTCCCGATGTCGAGGGAATTCCCGTATGGAATTTACAGCGCGTCGGGCCATTTGAATAATTTTTATCAGGTCTCGGTTGAAACCATTGTCTTGTAAAAAGACGGCCTGAAATATGGCCGGAGATACAGCCGGAGAACATCCAGCTCCCTTCTCTCTTTTCTCCATCAAGAGTTCCCTGCTCTGTCCTCTGTCCTCTCCTCTCCTTCCATTCGTGTGGCCGTCTCCCTTCGTGCCGCTTCGGCACTTCGGTCTCAAAGTCAAACGAGCGTTTGGTCGCTTTTCTGGAACCCTCTCGGCGAAAGAAAGAGAGAGGAGAGTACAACGAGGTGGTTACCGGTGCCGACCGAATGGATGAAGGAAACATTCCACGGGGGGTACGTGTTTCTCTGTAGGGTAAAGATCTGAGATAACTGGACTTCGTATCGCTTTCGTTCTCTTCGTTTTGTCTCCCTTCTTCCTGTATTGGTTCCGCCGTTTCTTGCACGGGGCAAACCACATGAGTTTATCAAAGACTTTAAAACGGTTTGATTCGTCACTAGTAAGATGCTTATAAATTATACAGAAACTTGTTTACCGTAAAGTTTTATAAAAAGATTACTCGTAATAACATTCCTTAACAGCGTAAATTACTGGAGCGAATGATATCGATTACTTCAATCTACCTATCTTGAATCGCTTTCTGCTGAGATCAGAGAACAAGCTTTAAATTAAACGAAAGGTAGAACAGCTTAAATTACCAGCGCTAGGGAGAAAAGGTCAAAGTTGACCTGAATGCCGAAAATGCGAAAAGCGTATCCTCTTTTGACGCTTCGTCCTTTCGGCGAGTCCTAACACGAGTGGCGGTACCGTTTAAATCACGAAAAGTCTGGACAGATAAATCTGGAAATCTTTACGAGCTGTTTAAGAGTTTGGTTTCGAGCTGTTTGCGCGACTTCGCGTGGGTAGTCCAGGGAATCAGATAAGAAAGTGGAGCGATTTAAAAGGAAAGGCTATTAATTTTTTTATTTGAAAGGAAATTTCCGTTATGGTATTAAATTTAAAACTTCCGTTACGATATTGTAACATTTAGCGTTTTGCGTTGCCAACAATTTGTAAATAATATTTACTGCCAGTAAGTGCCAGTCAAAGTCCGCTCTCTTTTTGTTCTTTGTCGATCTCAATGTCGAGAGCCTTTAGTTACTCGATCATTTATCTGACAATGAGTTCGTACAAGGTATTTCCGATTCCGCGCGAATGAGTCTTCTCAACTTGCTCGAATGTAGTGACCCATATCTTTCTTATCGCATCAATATCTCGTGCTCCTTCAGAATTGTATTATTCACAATTTATGTACTTACTTGAAAGTTTATGACGTTTACATTGAAACCCGGGTGTTCCTCCAAGAATAACCGTACTTCGGCGACACTTCCGTCAGCGACAACTTCGAGAAAACTTTTTTCGAGTTCTTGCAAATGCGAAATTGCCACACCGGGCTGCTGCAATAAAATAACCTTGAAATAAACCTGGGGTGTAGCATGTTACATTTTTATATTTTATATTAAAAAAGATTAAGAGAACGAGAGAGAGAGAGAGAGAAAACGAGTGTTAGAATCGTTTATCTTTTTAACCTTACATTTGCAAGCTCATCCTCTGTTCCGGCTATTGTCTCATCCGTCATCGCGAGTGATTGCTAGATTATAATTGTTTCCTACGATTATATGCAAAATAAGATTAATTTCTTTAATATAAATTAACCGCTCGAAAAATTCAGGCATTAAACATTACAAAATCTTTTAGAGAACAAAGAAATATCAAAGATATTTTTCATATTAATGAAATTAATTTACATTTTGTTTCGATTTATTGGTAAATACATACGGCATAGAAATGAAGTTGCTTCCATAGAACTTTTTAATTAAATAAATTTCGGAAACGAGAGAGAGAGAGGAAGAAAAATTATGAGGGAGAAAAAAATAATTATTCTTTTAAATATAATTAATAGAAGACTTAATATACTTGAACGCTTAATATTTTTCCATAATAAAAGAATTTTTCTGTACTGTATACAAGAAAGAATAATGAATTATATTATATCTTTGAATGAATTATATCTTTCTTTGCTTAAATGTCTTAACTTGGTTAATTAATTTGCCGTACGGAAATAACAGGACACGATAATTTACTTTCGTTAAAGATGTAATTTAATTTTTTGGAAGGGGTATATATACATAATTTATAATTTGTTTGTGTGCTATAATATACAAATAATATTATTGAAATAATTATAATATATGTATAATAGAATATACATAAAATTATATAATATATATATAATTATATATAATATTTCGATGATAATTTAAGTTATGTTTCCTAATGAAAAATAATTCTTATATTATTAAAATAATTAATTCACTTTTGTTAACATGTTGATTATAATTGACTATCGTTAAAAATATGACACGGCGAGAACAACGCGATTTAACATTATTATACAGCGGTACACTCGATAGTTGCTGTGACAATCGATAATGACAATAAATATATACGGTTTATGTACTTTTTTTAGCCGCATCTTCTTTGCACATTGTTTCTTTCATTTCTCTTCAAAGCCGAAATCTGTGCCGACTATATTTCGAAAGAAAGAAAGTGCAATTAAAATTGAGTAGGCCTATAATTACCTACAATTACAATTTCGAAAAAAACAATATTAAATTATATATAGGATACAAGCAATGTAGAATGAAAAGAAAAGTAGACTACACCCCCCTTTTCGTTAGAGAAAGGAGGGAAAACAGACTTCGTTCCTTTAAATTAATTATGATTTCAACAATTAATTAAATATAGACGCTTTCTCGCAGAACGTACATGAAGATTGTTTGGAATAATATTACATTAGAACAGTCGATAATTATCTTACACACTTTTTCCGCGACGCAAAGGCAAATTCTCTTTGACATCTCAGAAACAAGTATACCGGACAAGACGCACACGATTCGCAAACACTAAAAGAATAAAGAAGAAATATCTGTATGCCAGTATATTGTGTACACAAATTTAAAACATAAAGAGAACAATCCCAATTGTTCCTATAAAAAAAACTGCTTTCCATTTTCTATTTTTCTATTGTTCTAGGATCTAATATACTACACGTCATTCGGTGAACACTGGTAGGTCACTGGCCAACTTATGTCTTTCGCTTACGACGACGTCTTTTGTTCCACGCATTAAATACACGCATTTTGTTACAACAGAGACCCCGCGATCATATAACATACGTTAACTGTCTGCAACGGCATGTGTGTAACCGGAATCCACGACAACGATTCATAAAAAAGAAAGTCCCGAGAGACAGGACGACGTCTCGATGATTAATCAACATTGTTTCGTGGCTCCGAATAGTCTTCAGAACTTTGCGCCCAACACTCGAGCTTGTCCTCGATGATTCACTCGACACTTCGCTCGGAGCACGAGGTGCATTGTTCTTATCGGAGAACTCAGTTGTAGAGCATCTTCGACGGTAGCACGTAAGAGGAGAACGAATAGAGCATCGACGCGTACCAGTGGACGCCGTCCTGCTCTCCTCCTGTCGTCGGCTCTGTTGCGGAAGTATTGCTATGTCTCGCCTCGAGGTGTTGCGGATCGTCCAGCCTTTGCAGGAAAAAGGATCTTATGCTGTGCCAGATCCTCAGAGGCAGGAAGGAGTAATGCGCCACCGACTGACTGTTGACCACGGCGTAGCAAGACGCGACGACATTGTCTACGAGGAGGGTACCTTCCATCGTGAGCGGGGCGTAGACTCCCTCCTCGAGGACCAGTTTCGTTTCTACGACGCTGTCCCATCGCAAACGATTGTCCACCTCGTTCGCCGCGCTCGCCGCGTCGGTGTCACCCACGAGGATGCGGTCGCCGGGTTGCACGCTGGCGGCAAACACCGACGACCGACCCTCCACCGGCACCAGATGCGCTGGCGTTAACGTGAGCACTCGACCGGACTTGGTCGTCAGGCGGATGAACTGTCTCCTCTCGGATGGAGAACGGTCCAGGAAGGCGATCACCTCGCTGTACACGACGTCGCCACGGGAGTCAAGAGCGGCGATACGCTCGCCGAGATGCACCTCGTCCAGCCTCTTCGTGCTGCCGTCCTCCGTTCGGACCAGACTCTTCCCGGGAAAGCAGCCGCCGGACTTGCCCGCTGAAGACGATTCTGAAACCGAAAGATAGATCGATAGAGAGATATGTCAGCGAAACAATTTCCAAGTAAGTTGCTGTTCAACACAGTTTTGTTGAAAGTCCGTTTAATGAACGTTAAAGTCAATTTTAAACGCGTAAATTGGAAGAATAAACATGCAAAATTTAACATCCTTTTTCAAACCATTTAAGAAATGTTATAAAAACCGTTTTATAATATCTATTTCAACTTTTTTTTCTACTAGTTTACGATACCGTTTTTGTACGAGATATGTCGACGGTTTAATACGTTTTCATGACATATAAAACGCACTTTTTGTATGCATTTTTATAAGCTCCATACGTCATGAAAACCGTGTCGACTAAACGGTTTTTAAACGTAGATGAATGGTCTGTTTGGAAAAGAGAGAAAGAAATGAAAGCAAAAATATACACAGTATATGGTAAAAGATATTGTTTGTATTCTTAAACTCTGATTACGCGCGCGACAGAGCTAAGCAAGGCGTTATAAAAATCTTATTTCACGACCGCGATAAAACTACGCATGCGGATGTATAAAGGGATTTTATAAATATCATATAATTTTCAACAATCAGAATCTCCTTTAATGCGATCTTTCTGGAGCGCATTATGAAAACAAAACTGTCAGGATTACGATACAAAGAGGATGTAAGTGTCGTCATTCGTTAAGCGTGCTCGCAAACGCCTGTCGATTAATTAACGTGATTACAGTGAAAATTGGCGAAGCGTTAAACGCGCGTGGATCGCGTTCGCACTTTTTGTTGCACACTTCAGTTCCCCTCCACCTCATTGTTTCCCCCCTTTTCGTTCCCCTCGGCATCGACTCGTATCGGTTTCGCGCCAATTTCTATGCTCGGTTTTAATTCGGACCGACAGGCACGCCTTGATTTATCGGCATTTATTTTGAAATTCGAGACCCAGCCGCGGCCTGGAACGAGCACGAATCGCTGATTGCTCTCGTGCAGGTATTTACCTGCTGGCTCGAAAGAGAAAGTAGATGCGCGACAGGATTTTCTCGTAATTAAGAATCACTTCCCTCCACGGAGTAATTCTCAAAATGCAAGAAAGATCGCGATTTTGAAAACGTTAACTTAGGAGTGCTATACAAATATACTGCAGGGGCCATCTTTTGGCGTATTCAGGAATTCCTCTCATATCTCAATACTTAGCATGCATGATGTGGAGCGTGTTATAAATTAGTTACGCAATCCACTTGAAATTGGTAATTTTCTGCGGAATCGTTCTTCATTGAGAAGGCGACTGGCGAGACTAGTAGTGTTGCGTGTCATTTGAGATATTTCGAGAAAATTTGTACATTTGGCATTCAGTTCGAATCGTTTCGAATTAGACCTAAAAGTGACGGATTACTTTGGAAAACCTCAATAAAATTTCCCAAGTGAAAGTATCCGAGATATTTTGAGCGGAAACATTCGAGTTATTTAATTAATCGATTATCCACGCTCAAATTAAATTTGATAGAACTAATTGGAATTAATTTGAATTCGCGAGCACTCCCGTACGTTTCTAATATTGCCGTATCGCATAAGCAACTCCAATGCCCTACCTCTGCCAATGCGGATTAACTTTACTCTCGGCTTAAATTACTTCTCATCTTTTTCTAATTAGTAAAACTGGAAAAGGATATAAAGTAAGTTGAGCCGAGATTAAAGTTAAACTGCGTGAGCGGAGGAAGGAGTCGGTAAAACAGGTATCTTTACAACAATGTACAAGTTAGTGGCGCCAATTTTCACTAAAAGAGAAGTAGACGACACGATATTCACTTAACTATATATTTTAGCTAATCAGATGTTTCGTAATGAAAATCAACTCGCTTCGTATCTTCAAGTGATCCTAGTCAGATTACAACAATATCAATAATGTTAGACGATTTTATGCCGCTATATAAATGATATGTGCACTCAAGGCGCCAAGTCACTTTGTCACTCGCGACTTGACAACAGCGCGACTTTAGTACCCCCGTTGCATTAAACGACGTTATTACACAACTGCACCGACTCCGGCATCTTTATTGCATTAAACGGCATCATTACAACTACTGTCCGGTAGTTTATACGCTCATCTTTATTGACGCGGCGTTTACGCGGGTATTAACGCGAAATGGCCGCAATTAAAATCCACATGCGGTCCGCGAATCGGCCGCTTTTAATGCACTCGCTTTCTCCGGCGCGATTCAAGACGATCCGACAGCGATTCGATCGCGATTCGTACACCTCCTCGGGTTTATTCGGTACCACGTCCTGAAACGACGGTAACTACTAACCAGACTTGACGGAGCAATGTATGTGCGACCTGGACTCGTAATAGACCCAGTCGAAGCCAGCCTCAACCGCGAGCCTCGCCAGCATCCCGTACTTGGAGCGATCGCGGTCGCTCGTCGTAACATCGACGGCCCGTCCCTCGTAGTGCAGGGAATCTGTCGCGTGGTGGCCCTCCTCATCCCAGGCCTCGGTCACCCGCAGCTTCACTCCGGGCCATTGGTTCATCACCGAGATCGCCAAAGTGTTGAGTTTCTCCTTGCACCTCTGTAACATTGCACGGGACAATTATTGGCAACAGATCGACAGACTACGATAAGTCTAACCAGCGAACGGACAGTTAAAATTACGACTTTTTCAGATTTACGTGACCGCGACCTAATTCTGAAAATTTAACACTTGGATATTTGTCTCGTCCAGGTAGTAAGAAGGGCGTCAGGGAATTTTTCTATCATTTATATTCTTCAAGTTTGTTTTCAGAAACGATTATATAGTTTACACGCACTCTGACAGGTGGAAATGTATTTTGAGGGATTTAAAATGTTGACTCAGACCGTATTTACACGTATATTTCTCCCAGCTCGCTTTGGGAAAACTATTTTTGGTGTTATTTAGAATTCGGATTAGGTATTTGGAAATTTAAGATTAGAGCCTGGAGTCTCAGCGAGGCTTCATCGCAGCCCACTTTTCCGGTTAGTTCCGCTTAATACGATTTCCGTCACATTTGAAAACATCGCGCGGGACGGTCCAGCACAGCACGGCTCGGTCCGAGCCCGGAGAATTCAGTCGATTTCATGGTGCGCGCGAAAAAAGGGGGACCTTGTGTCGTGACCAGTGGCGTCAGGTACAGAGCGATCGCTCTCCGTCGCGTGAATCGCCGTTTAGGAAAACGAATGCGTATTTTTGACCGGTTATGAGGTTGGTCCTGGATCTTTAAGAGACTTTAACGGGCTCAGATCCGTGGCGAATCAGCGGGCAAACAGGAATATAAATACGGCCGATGTCGAGGATCATTCGGTCACGCCGCGCCGCTTCCTCCCTTCTCCCCTGGAATCACTTCTCTCTCTTTCCACCCTATTGTCTACCTCGACGTCGACGACGATGGCAGGCGGTGCTCCGGTGAGTCAATAGGGTACGCGCTCTCGTAACGAAGCATGGATAGTCGACTCAGTGAGACAGGGGCCCAATAGCGCACGGGACCCGTGTAAACCCGGGCTTAATCCGGAACGCGGCGTATCGAGGGCGCGAGAAGCCAAACGCAAGGGAGTCCCCATTGACCGGAGCCGCGGCATTGTCGAAGGGCATTCGAGGCGTCCGAGGCCCGTGTTCAAATCGATTCTCGGAGGGCAATCGCCCACGCAGGGCTGTATCATGCGGATGACTGATCAGAACACAGACAGGCCCCGGCTTGTGCGTGAACGCGCTCGGTGTAAATCGAGCGGGTCCTCTCCCCCGAGTTGCCGAGGGGGCTCCCTTTGCACTTTTTATTCCCAGCCGAGTGCGCGGAAGAAGGTAATTTTCGGGAAGGTACAATCGACTTTGGCAACGGAGTGGGGAGGAGACGAAGGGAGCCAGAAGCCGTCGTCCAGAGTCCGCGCGCCGTGAGGTGCCCGTCGATCGCGCGAGAACGCGCTGCGGCCGCGACGAATTTTACACACTCCGCCGGCCTGCCTATCTCACCCCTTTCATTCTCGTGGTATTTCAATGGCGGTGCGCAACCCGACGGTACGCCTCGGACACGAAGCAGCTCGCGATCCGCGCGGCCACAATGAGACCCGTTCGACACTAACCGAGAACGGAACGGAGCTAACAATGTCCACGAATTTGCAGCTTTCCTTGCGGCAATTAGCCCCTATTGAGTGCAGACGACGGCCTCTCGTCGGGGGACCAGTCCCACCTTTCCTTCTCCTCCTCTTCTCGCCTCCTTTTTATTTCCTCGCGCTCACGAGCCTCGGGATCCTCGCCGGTGGAAACCTTCACGCCACGTGCACGCGATTGCTACGAGTGAATTGCACGCCCGTCGGCTGTCAGATGAATTTCCATTAAAGTCCCAGAGGTTCGAGTGAACCCCTGTGAACGGAGTATATATCCGAATTCGCTCAATAGGCGGCTCCCAATTCCCTTGTGTGCGATACGCCGAAATGTGCAAGACGCGCCGCTGCTGGTTTAGCTGTATCACGGCTAATTCTCGACCGACTCGTTATATTACTTCCGGCGCGTGAAGGCGGAGGATCATCGTCATGCCTCGCTTGGAAAAGTCGATGTAACATGAGTCGATCACGTTATGCTGATTGGAATAAGACAATTTGGATTTTCTAGGGGCTGCTTCTCGACGTAAAGATATTGTCCAGCAGATTATAAAGGCGGGACGCTAGCGTGTGCAGGAATATGCATTCCGATTTCACCTGTCACTAAAAATATCGAATACATATCCTCGATACAAAGATTATGATCAAAAATCGATCCTTGAACATTTTCTCATGCGCCCTTGGCTTTCGTGTGTTAGTCCTCGCGCTGCACGATACACGATGAGAACCGAGGTAATAGAGCATGAGAATGACGACGAAGTCAAGAAGAAGAAGAAGACGAGGAAGAAGAAGAAGGTGGAGGAGGGAGAGGTATAAAAGGCTGCGAAGGAGTCTCGTATAAAGAGAGGGAAGAATGGTGAAGGACCCGAGAGATATATCGGCCGTGGTGCGCTATGGGGAGCCTTGTTCGCACAGCAGGGAACCCCCTGGGCCCCTCCCAGACTTTACATCTATTTACAAATATTTTGGCGGACTTGAAGAGATACAGGATATGATGGAGTGAGAAGGAGTGCGCGCGGCTGGCCAAAGCCGAGAATGTCGGGTCTTATGAAAATCCATTTCGAGTAAAAAATGACCTAGCCCGTAATACATTAGGGATAAGGAGCGTTACGCGAAGGTTGCGGAGGGGAGGTGAGGGAGAGAAGAATTGCGGCGGAAATCGAAAAAAGTTGAGCCGAGTGCTTGTACGCGCGCCGAACGTCCCGTAAACGACTGTTCGTGTGAAACGCAAAAGGGAAGCCGCGGCTTTAGTTCACAGAAAGGGCCTTAATGGAATTGGGCCAATCCCAATTTCTGTGAGAGGTATGAGGATGAAAGTTTCCTGGAAATCGTTTGAAGGAGCATCGTCATTCGGAATATCGTTCGGCCACTTATTATAATGGTTCCTCAATCTAATCGGAAAAAGAGAGCAACGGTATCAACAATGTAGCAAATTCTGCTTTTGTACGTATGGTGGACCCTATGGTACAAGTGCGCGCCGCGCAATGAGACACGAATACGCCTGTTATTTATGAAAGTTTATCGATATTTTCAGTTTTTACGGAGATAAATAAAATCCAATTAATCCCTACAAGCGCGAGTGAAAGGTTTACACAAACGCATACACACACTGCACGTGCACGCACACATACACGTGGTATTACGAGGAGCCCGGGCTGCCAGTAGCTGAGAAACCAGTCAGGTTGATGGGAGATGATGAGTCGCGTAGTGTGAAGGATGCTCTCTCCGCGTTCTGCCCCGATGTTATTTTATCTCTCCTTCATCACTCGGCCCCGATGGCCACTAATTACGAAGCGCATGTCGCTTACACCTCGTTTACATATTTCGTATCTTATCGCTGAAACGTGCGGGTAAACCCGTGTTAACTCTCGCGCGTCTGCAACTTTACTCACGTGCGTGTATCCCGCGGTATATAATCAACGTAGCGACATTAAAGCAATATTAATTTCCCTGTTTGGCATGGTACTAATTGCCCTCGGTGCATGTTACGGCTCGTTAAATCGCAGATAACGTCCGCGAAATTGTCGAGGCATCGCCGAGAACAAAGGAGTGGGACGTCGAGACAAACGACGTCGGAGTATTGCCGAACAGTTGGAGACGCTGGCCCGAGGATGTGGAGGTCAAGGAGCAGAAGGAAGATGAGAAGAAGAAGGAGGTGATGGAGGTGGAGGATGGAGAAGGATGAAGAGGAGAAGCACGTTAAAGTAGAAGAAACGGCGGGAGCAAAGGAACCCGAAGATGGGCCACGTACTGCTGTCTCGAAAGGGGGTTGGGTCCGAGATGAAGGAAGATGGTGTGCGAAGCAGGACTGGGCTCCATACCAGCATCCGCAGACGGAGCCCCGCCCCCACCGGTTTCTTCTCCGTTTCTTCTCCACCTCCGGGCCCGCTCCGGCTTTACCTTCCCGCGGCCAGGCCAACCTTTTATTCCAATCTTCTTGTTTTAACGTGCTCGTTGCTTTACCCCCTCCTCTCTCGCGATCCACCACCCTCCGCCTCCTTCCCTGCGTTCCTGCCGTCCGCATACCGGCCGCATTCGAGGGCCCCGGGAGTGGGTCCCCAATGTTCCATTCACCGCGCAACAAAACGAACCGCCCAGGCGTCAGCTGATCTTCCAGGAAGCCACTTCCGCCTCGACGGTAACCCCCGTGACACCCACACGGTCGACGTCGTGTTCGTACTTTTATCAATTCCGCTGATCGCCAAGGATTTAAATTCTCAGACAGTGAGAGGACTCCGCGGTGCGCGCGCGGACAGTTTGAGATCCTTTTATGGACTTTTAAGATTGCCATACATCGAGGCTACCATTTCTTTGCTTCCAGCAAATTTTTGTCCAAATTTTCAGCCCACCTCTTCTTCTTCCTCTTCGTGTACGACCGGCGCTCGTCTTGATTAATCGACGGCTAAAGGGACTATCGAAATGAGACGCGATCGGTGCACGAAGGACAATGGCCCGGGACCAAAGAGATGACACGGCAACAATGATAGTCGTGCTTTCAGAAAGAATCGTGCGAGGTGCATCGAGTGTTTGTCGAGCTCTCTAGATGGTCCCAGCAGTAACGACTGAAGAGCAATCCCTGCGCCGGGACAACGTATCTCACGCTTCTCTCCGTCTCTCCTTCCTTCATCTTTATTCTAATTTCTTTCGCTTCGTAGCTGTTCATTTGTATGCCGTACGAATCTACGTTCTTTATTTTAGCAGTTCGTCAAACAACCAAATATCTCGAGTCTAACTCGACGAAGATGGATTGTGAATTGAAAATTCAATTTGTAGTGGTTAAGTTTTTCCTTCTTTTTATTTAGGCTATTGGTCAAAGCAAATCTTATCAGGCGCGCGTTCGTACGAAAAATAATAGTTACAGTGCATAGCTCACTATCTAAATTCTTGATAAAAATCTTGTAATATTACTTTTCTTTGTAAAATCTGAATTAATTTCCCTGTAACAGACGTGTCACCTTG